GGCAAAGCTCAGAAGTTGCAGAGTAAAATAAGCCTTCACCTGGATTGTTCTTGATGTACTTGAGGATTCTATAAGCTGCTTGAAGATGAACATCTGTCGGAGAGGACATGAACTGACTCAGACAGTGAACGGCAAAGGTGATATCTGGCCTGGTGATGGTAAGATAGAGAAGACGTCCAACCAATGCTCTGTAGGGAGTAGGATCATCAAGAATTGTGCCAGAATCTTTGCTAAGACGAATCAAAGGGTCCATGGGAACAGAACTCGGTTTGCAACCTAGAAGTCCTGCATCAGATAAGAGTGTAAGAGCATACTTTCTTTGACAAACCGAGATACCAGTAGAGTTCCGAGCAACTTCAAGACCAAGAAAGAATCGCAAATCTCCCAAATCCTTAATCTTGAAGTGATGATGAAGAATATCCTTGAGATGTTTGACGTCAACAGGACTGTTACTTGCTATCATGATGTCATCAACGTAGATGAGAATAGCAGTGAAATGAGATCCATGCTGACGAACAAAGAGAGTATTATCTGCAGGTGACTGAAGATAACCAGCAGAGAGAAGAACACCAGAGAGACAGTGATACCATTGTCTTGAAGCCTGCTTTAAACCGTATATAGACTTATGTAATCGGCAAACAAGATTCGGAGGTAGAGCACCTGAAGTAGGAGTATATCCCTGAGGAAGACTCATGTAAATCTCTTCATCAAGGTCACTGTGAAGAAAGACATTAGAGACATCCATCTGCGTCAATTCCCATCCTTTGACTGCAGCAAGACTAAGAAGTAACTTGACAGATGCTAACTTTGCAACAGGGAAGAAAGTATATGTGAAGTCAACTCCCTCTTGTTGTGTGAAACCTTTAGCAACAAGTCTGGATTTACGTCTCTCCACTTCTCCATTAGCTCTATATTTCGTCGTAAACACCCACTTACAACCTACAACATTCTTACCAGGAGGTAAAGAAACAACAGTCCAAGTTCTATTGTCCTCCATAGCCTGTAATTCGTCATTAGTAGCTTTCCTAAACTCAGGTGACAACATGGCTTGTTTGAAAGAGGTAGGTTCATCATCAAGACAATAGGAAAGAAGATATTGTTGGTAAACGGGTTTAAAATTGTGAAATGTGTCAACAGAAGCAAGCAGATAAAGGGAATTATGTAAAGGAGAAGTGATGTTTTGAACAAAAGAACAATGGTAATCAGATAAGTAACCTGGGGTCCGTACTGTGCGTTGAGGTCTGACACGAAGTAATTGACTCTGTCCTGTCATTTGTGGCACAGTCTCATGTGGAATAGATGATGCAGAGTTATGAGATGCATGAGATGCTGAAGTATGGGATGTAGTTAGAGGCTTGTCTAATGCAACAGGAATTGACACATGTAAAATGGTTCGAGAAAACAAGTCTTGAGAAGGTAAAACAGATGGTTTATCTTTGTAAGGAAAAATATTCTCTTTGAAAATAATATTGCGTGAAATAGACACTTCATGAGTTGTGAGATTCAAAACTTTATATCCCTTATAACCCGTAGGGTAACCTAGGAAAACACAAGCATCAGCACGAGGTGTAAATTTATGCATATCCTTGAGCAAAGTGGAAACATAACATAAACACCCAAAGGAACGTAAGCAATCATAGTCTGGTAATTTCTTAGCAAGTAACTCATATGGAGATTTCTTATCTAAAAGAAGAGAAGGTGTCCTATTAATGAGAAAAACTGCAGTAGAAACACAATCAGTCCAGTAAATCAGTGGAACATTAGACTGAAAAAGCAATGCTCGAGCTACATTCAATATATGTTGATGTTTACGTTCAACAACAGAGTTTTGCTGTGGAGTATAAGCACAAGAAAACTGATGGTTCATGCCATGTTTATTAACAATCTCAGTAAAAGCAAGCTCAGGTGCATTGTCAGTTCGAATAGATTTGATCTTAGAGTTGTATTGAGTAGAAACATGCTGAATAAAAGTAGGAAAAACTTTGATAACATCACTTTTATTACGAAGAAAGAATATCCATGTTACACGAGTACAATCATCGACTAATGTAAGGAAATACCTATAACCTTCTACAGACTCAACAGAAAAGGGTCCCCATACATCAAGATGAACAAGATCAAACGGAGAAGAAGACATATAATTGTTTGAAAGAAAAGGTAGACGTTTTTGCTTAGCTAAAGGACAAATTCTACAATGATCTATAGCTGATTCTGATGACTTAGACAAAGGTAATATACCCGGAATATATTGTAACTTGAGAGCTGATGAATGTCCAAGGCGTTGATGCCAGAGATGTCCATCAACAGACAAGGATCCACAGACGTTGAGTGTAGTAAAGCTTGAATCAAGAATGTAAAGATTGCTGAAAAGATGTCCTCTACCAATCGTCAATCCCTGAGTAGATTCCTGAATGATACAATGATCCAGATAAAAATGAGCAGAGCAGTTATTATCTTTTATCAAACAGTTTATGCTTATGAGGTTAAAATGAAAAGATGGAACGTAGAGAACATTATGCAGTATAAGACTAGATGATATGCGAACACTGCCTATATGCGTGAAATTTTCTTTGAAACCATTTGGTAATGAGACTGTAACACCATTGACAGGAGAAAGATCATTAAACCGTGTCATATCAGAACACACATGCGTGGTTGCCCCACTGTCAAATATCCAAGAACCACGGGGTAAAGTATTGTAAAGAGAGGAAAGACATTGATGATGATAGGTAAGTGTTTGGTTTTCAAAACGAAGGTTGGAAGATAAAGAAAGTATAATACCAGAGGTAGATTGAGGAGCCATGTAGCCATTCTCAGTTATAGAAGCTTGATTTATCGGAATTACAGACTCTGAAGGTCGAACTTGACGCTGAAGTTGCTGAATAAGCATCTGAACCTGATCTGGATTGAATGTTGGAGGAGCAGTAGTGATATTGGCCACAATGTTAGACTGTTGATGAGGAGCAGAGTGTTGAGTATGTGAACCATATGAACCACGAGGAGCATTGTTCTGAGAACCACGAGGTGTGAAATTCTGATTCTGTTGACTCTGCTGACCCTTAGAAGCTTGACCATGAAAGCGATGTCCAGGTGGATATCCATGAATCTTAAAACACTTTTGAATCACATGACCAAGCTGGCCACAGTAAGTACACAGTGGTCTTTGACGAGGACGGTATGATTGAGAATGAGGAGCAGCCAAGATCGTATTCTCAGTAGGGACATCAGAGAACTGAGAAGACTGCTGAGACACATTGAGAGAACCAGTGGCTTGCATAACAGCTTTGTCAGTCGTTGAAGGTTTGATATTCTTCTGTCTCTCATCTTGAGTGATCATGTTGAAGACATCCTCAAGAGAAGGTAGAGGTTTCATCATCAAGATTTGACGCCTACTAGTTTCATACGCTTCATTCAATCCCATCAAGAACTTAGTAATACGACTACGCTGCTGCATAGTCTCCCAAAGTTGAGCAGCATGACACTCACATTTGCCACATGTGCACACCGGAAGCTCAACAAAGTTCCTATGTTCTTCCCATAAAGTCATCAACTCAGTATAATAGGAAGTAACATCTAGAGAACCCTGAGTAATGCTACCTAAACGCTGTTCAATCTCATACACACGAGGCGCATCATCATGTTTGAATCTAGTCATCAAATTCTTCCAAATAGATTCTGCCGTTGTCATGAACAATAGACTCTGAGCTATCTTCTTATCAACAGAATTCATAAGCCAAGTAGCAACCATGTCATTGCATCTAGACCAAGAACCAGCATCCCTATCATCATCTAAGGGTTTAGGAATAGTACCATCTATAAACCCCAGCTTATTACGCACATTCAACGCCATACGCACCGATCGTCGCCAAGAATGAAACTCAGCACCACATGTAAGACGATCAATGACAAGAACAAGACCTGCGTGATCATGATTATGCAAATAATAGGGATTCGCATAATGATCCAAGAACTGCGATGGATTTCCGTTAGAAGCCATGAGATCAAGTAACAGAAAACAAGAGAATGAAGAATCGAGCTCAAGAAAACGAAAGATAGAGACTCAATCAAAGGTCAAAGAAAAGAGAGCAAAGCAGAAGTCGCGAAACGAAGATGACGAAGTGAATCAAGAGAACAATCACCAGATTGAGAAACAGAGAAATCAATCGGAGCTCAGAAACACTTACTGCCATGGAAAGCGAAGGTCAAAGATCGAGAAAACGAAGATCCACGAGCTCAAGAGATGAGAGATCGAAGATCATCGGAGAAGAAGATGTCGTTGAGGCTCTGATACCATATTGAATAAACTGAAACAACTTCTTAATTTTGGTAAAGTTTGTTACAGAGTGATATATATACATTGGTTAGCAAAAGGAAACTAAACCAACTAATTTAGAATCTAAGTTAACCGAAGTAAACCGGAATCTATTATCCAATAAAATACAAAACTATTGGTACGTAATGAAAGATATGGTTTGTTTGTTTATAAGCTATAGAGAATAATAAAGCCCCAATCGTTTCATTTGCAATTGCATTACCATGTTATATTATATTGTAATTACAGAAACACAAACGTAAACTCAAAGAAACAATTGGTACCTAAACTCATTTTGTTCGATGTTACAGAGATTGCTTCTACACTTTCTTTGCGATGCTAAAAGAAAATAAAACAAAAGAGAATCAATAGAGAAAAACAGAATAAAATGGTCCTTGGGTTTTGCTTTGGACCAGATAGAAAAGGCGATGTCATAACTTGTATACATTCTACACATGCTATGCACTCTGCTTTAATCATTTTGTAGGCCCACATTCTTTACATCTTGTAATCTCATCCCATGAATCTCAACACTTTCCAAATAAATTTTCATCATCATTGAGTCATTATACGTAAACATAGTCATGATACAAGTTCCCAAATGCTTTCTGCAAGCTTCATTGAATTATCTCAGTTTCTCAGCCTCCGGCATCAAGTAATAGACCTTATTTACTTCTTTTAAAAATCTCTGCCTCAAATGTAGGAGAAAAATATCCTCTTTGTTTTTTCATATATGTTTTCAAGTTAGCTGAATAGTAAATAACTAAATAAATAGCTAAATCACTGGTAATTATTTAATCATCCTCCTTTTTTTGTGGTTTATCTATGACAATTGGGCCAAGTATGGAGGAGCTCATAATCTTAAGTTAAACTAAAGTTGTCACTTCTTTTTGGATGCTTATCAACCTCGTCCATCTCCTACCTGCTCCATTGCCTCTCCAGCAAATGAGATATTCTGTTTCACAAAAGCAACACACAATTATAATACTATTATTCATTTTCTTTTCTGCATAAATAAAATTGTAAGTTAATGATGTTAACATATTCAATGTAATACAGTATATTTTTTTGTTTTCCATTTTCTTATGAGCTTTTTCAACAATATATGTTAGAATTTAAATTTATTTTCAAACATTAAAAATTCCATTATTCAAGTAAACATTATTCATGCTTACTTAAACTTAGACTGCGATGTATATACTATATTCCAGCTATATAACATCAATGCTGCAGTACTAATATAAGTCCAAGTAACATTGAAACGACAGTTTTAGCAAGAGTCTTTGACTTTGTACGAAAAAACACATGGCGGTGCCAAACATATAAGACTGGTAAAACTAAACTTGGTATTTGAGGCATACAGTATATAGATTAATAAACTAAACTTGACTTGAAAATAAATACAGGACACAGAAGAAAAATCAAAATCATGGTAGGCTACAATTTATCAACAAGTTAGCCATGTGCGATTACAGTCAAGTGTAGTATTATTCTCCTTGATTCCTTCTTTATACTATTATTTATTAAACTGAAGCTCTTACATGTCTATTTTAATAATATTAATTTCATATGTCTCGTCTGGAGAAACAGCCACGACATCTATTTTAATAAATCAATTCAGTTTTATATTATATTTATCCACATAGTAGCATGCACGAACCAACGTCAGCAAAATAATATGAAAAGAGCGCAAAAAATTATTTACCATGGGATGAGGAGTTGAGTAATAGTAAATGTGTTGGCCGTTGTAGGCGTCAGGACACGGTGGTGGCTCGACAACGTCACCGTGACATTCTAGGTTCACTCCAAATAGCCTCACCGTCCTCGAGCTCCCAGCAACTACCGTCGGTGTCTCAGCGACAGCGCCTACAATTTTCCACCGTCAAAACATTTTTGCGTCTCTTTTTCATATAATTTAAAATGAATTAAAAGGAAGAAATATTGAACACGTTAGTCTAAGTGATTGGATGGTTCTCCTTAGGAGCGTGTAACAGATTAGTTACAACTTGGGGAAGGTTATTGAAATTGTCGGAGTTATTTTCTTGACCATAATTAAAAAGACATGTGACGAAAAAACAAGAAGATATCTCTTCATAACAAAATGTTATCTCAGGTTGTTATTTTACGTGCATATACACGCAACTAAACTTGTCGTCACATATTTTAGGTAAATAAAATCATTTAATTCCGACATGATTTATAAGAAAAGAAACTCCACCAGCTAAACTTGGTCGAGCTCTCAATGTTTTTGCTCTAAATATATATATATATATATATATATATTGTTTTTATTTTTTATTTTTTTCTGGTAACAATGGTAAGAAGCTCTAAATATTTCCCGAGAATATTCTACTTCTTGAGAATAAAACAACTAAAATAATGTATTAAGAAAATATTATACTAAAATTACAATAACCTAGGAGTTATAGAGGAAAAATAAAACATTTCGATTTTTAAAGATGAATGTTCTTTTATAAAAACCATGTGAATCTAAATAACAATCTAAAACACAATGCAAAACTAATAATCTAAGATAATTACAAAAAACAAGAAAATTTATTTTTTGAAAAGAAAAAAAAATCATATAGGATTATAAATCTGACATATAATAAGAAAAAAAAGAAAAAAAGAAAAATTGAGATAGATAAAAAAAGATAGAGTTTTACCATAATGTGAACACTCTTGGTGAATGTTAGGGTAAGAACTATTCGACGCGTGTACTTGACGATAAGGTGTAGTCAAACCGTTCCAGTACGCCGTCGTGTTAACTCGAGCATCTTGGGCCACGGCGGGAGAAGAAGAAGAAGCCTCGCCGCGTCTCCGCCAGCCAATGAAGAGTCTATGAATATCAAAACGGTGCCGTTGAAATAAAACAACGTCTCCTGCGTTGAGGTGCTTGTCTTTAACGTACCTACTCCATCCTTTAGTCAACACGTAGCTTTGACTACTGTTCCAATACGAGTATCTGAATTTCCAACACTTTCCTGACTCGTCCTCGAAGCTAAGAAGCACTCCTTTCTCCGTTGACTCCGCCGTGACCTCGTCGTCGCCGCCGGCGGCGTAATTATTGAGAGGGAAGTGTCTCTCGGCGTGTTGTTTTGGTATGACTAAACGGTTTAGCTTTCCGACGTCGCTTGGTGTGAGTGACTTCTCGAACAAAGGTTCTCTATGGTCGTTGTGGTGATGGTGCAATGAGAGTGTGTTGTGGTGGATGTCTCTTGAGTTATGGTTGACTGACATTTTTGTGATTGTTTTTCTTGGAGAGTGAGAAAGAAAGAAAGAAAGAAAGAGAGAGAGGATGTGCAGAGGTTTGGTGGTGAAAGAGTGGTACTAAATATAGTATTATACGAAGGTAACAGAAAAAAGTGAAAATTGTGAAAATGGTTAAGTTGATGTGAAAACTATGGGAATTATTTTGATATTTTAAAAGTAAAAAAAACTATTTTGATGTACATGAAGAGGAGGAGGACACGACATCAAATAGTACTTTTAAGGTTTTGCGTGATGAGCTGATGATATTTCTTTACATTCACTATAGTATTGAATTTTTTAGTTATGGTTTGATGTAGGGTCGGTCCTCCTGAAATTTCAGAGACCTGAAACAAAATAGAGTATTTGCATTTCATACATACACTAAACCTCATAATTCACTTCATACCCTATTTCTTCTTTTATCTCTCCTCTCCATACATTATTATTTTTCCCACCAAAAATGACAAATCCCTAATTTCCTATTTTCTTATGGATTTCTACCCAATTCACTCAACAAAATAAGAAATGGAGTCAGTATATAACATCACAAAAAATAACAGAAACAAATTTGTAAAAATATTTTCAAATATAAAGTACTAATAAGACATAAGTTTCGTTACAGAAAAAAAAATAATTGTCTACATCTTTTAAAACAAATTTAAAATGAGCTGCATATGATTATTAAAATTTTATAGATATAATATAATTAGATTTTTATTTTTTGGGGCTTATATAATTGGGAACCTGTTGTAAATATTTCATGAGGTAGTGACCAGAGCCGGCCATGGTTCGATAAACCTTGTCTTAAATGGCATTGGATCCCAAGATGTTATATTGTTGTCTATAAAGTTAGTTTGGATTTTACCAAAAACAAAAACAAAGTTAGTGTGGTTTTGTCTTAATAATAACTTAATGTTGTTCGGCCGTTTCGTTGTCAACAAAAAAAAAAAAAAACTTAATGTCGTTCGTGAACTTATATGGTTTAATATAAATATGTGTACAAAATAAAAGGGATAGAAGACACAACCTGCAAGTTTGGTGATTACTTTGTTTATCTGTTAATGACTTCCGTGATGACGTAACTATATATGCGTATACAAAGTTTAATTTGATAAACAAATTATTTACATAGATTATAATATAAAATTTACATGTTTAACAATAAAGATATATACACAAAATTAACTTTCCATTTAAGTTGAGTTCTTTAAGATCTCCTAACAGGAACCAACGGCTGAAAGGTGAGGTGGTAGTGGTACGTAATAAGTATAAGTAAGAACATTTTATTTTACAAAAAAAAAAAAAGTAAAAGTAAGAAGGTACAAAGGATACTTAATCCTGACGCAAGTGAGAAGTTCAAGTTGTGGAGCATGTGGCTTTTGCCTTTCCGACACACCATCGCATGCATCTTCACTTCTACTTCATATCTTCCCTTATGTTCCTCTCCCTTTCTCCCTCTCACACATTTGTTTATATATTTATCTAATCATTATCTAATTGAAGGATAAAGACAATAAACTATTTGTGAAATGGACTTGACTTTGTGGCCATGTTTCTCATTTTCTTGTTTACAATATTGAACAACAACCACACCCATCAATGCCAATTAATACTCAACATGCATGCAGAGATAAACTATATAACCCCCAACATATAATTCACCAAGATGATCATTTTGGATAGCAGTAGTAATATATATATAGTGATGTAGTGAGTAAGAGTAAAAACACAAGGGATATGTCTTCAACTTTGGTCTCTTTATAAAACAAAAAAACTCTGGTCTTGCTAGTCACTAAATAAGGAATGGGTTAATATGTTCAATTAATAGAAATCCATTTAAATTTTATTTTTTTCGAACAAAGTTTAAATCCAAATCTATAGAGAATTAAAACTATCGAACCATGCAATAGTTTAACAAGTTCAACTATTACCTAAAAACACCATTAACCCAAATACTCAATTAGGGATTATTCTTTTTTAATAATTTAAATTGTAAAAGTGATTAAGCAACGATATGGACAGCTTAATTAAGCACTGATACTTCTTTCTTTTGTTTATTTTCATTTTTTTAATCTAAAAATCACTAAATATCCTTTCTAAACTACTGTGTTAATGGTGCTCTAAGGATGCACATCTGTTTTTTTCCTGAAAAGGTTACACATCTATTATTGTTTCTTAATTGAAGTGAAAATAGTAGCAACGGTATATGATTACTATAGTCTATGGTGTATGGAATCATTCGTTTATAATACTACATCTAATATATGTAAATTATTCCTTTTCTCAAATAATATGATTAATGACGTTGATATTCACTTTCAAAGCCACTATACTATCACTCATTTGGTATTACATTAATCTTATATAGCTTAGTTATTATGTGTAACCAATTTTTTTTTTTGTGTAACCAATTTTGGTAGCTGCTTGAGTAGAGATTTATTTATTGTTTAACGAATGGGGTAAATTTTCATGTCCTTAGCGAAAATTATTTTTTAAGAAAATTGTTAAGTGAGCAAAGGAGTATATATACGACTTAATTGGAGGTGGAAATGTTTACGTACGTGGTCCGATCTTCTATATATATTTTCGTCGAACTTTTCCAAGTGTCGTTTTATTTAATATCTTGTCATCTGTAAAATTATATAACCTTGAGATTTCACCTGCTTTCAGGACTCTATCATTAGTGCTTACACATTTCAATATATTTCTAGTTTCCTCACAAAAATAATATTAGTACCAGTGATATTCTTTTAACTGTTACCAATAATTTCCTAAAGAATTATAAGCTCCTCCAAAAACAACTTCCTTTGCTAGATAAGACTTTACGTAAGAGCATTTTATAGGTTCTCAGCTACCACCAATCATAATGATGAAACGATATAATTTTGAAGTCGAGATTTAAATCGCTCAACCACGTTTCTAAAATGTCTACATTACAAGACATAAAAATAGATTTAATGTTCGATATTTAAACACCTGTTACTTTTAATTTGGTCTATTTTCTGAACACAACTTTTCAACAAGAGTCCTAATCACATTAATCTCCCCTTTCAACAAACATTGTAGCTTCATTTGATACGTCATATTTTCTTTTGTTAGAATAACTCGAAACAAAACAAACTTCCAACGAATGCGACGTAGCCTCTTAGGCCAAGATCTGAAAGCATGTAGTAGAGTTCTTTTGACGAATTATAAAAAATAACAACTTAGATAATTCCCTTACTTTAATCATGTATTTTTCTTATAGGAACTTTAGGTCGTATTACCTCAAGTATTCAACAAATGATGCACCATCAGTTTACAGGATTTCACTTAATTGGCCGCATGTAACCATACTAAACGACAATTTCACAGGTAAATAATTAACATATCACTCAAAATATTATCAACCATTTGCTACAATATATAAATAATCGATATCAATCAATCATTGTTGACAAAACTTCTTAATTTTGAATTACCACATATTTTATATTACATATCATGGGTATATACTAACTAGGAGGATATACCCATTACCCGGCATGGGAATAGATCGTAGAAAGAAAATAAAATGATCCCTTTAGCACAAAGAAAAGGCACGAGAGGAATCTGCCCTGTATGGTTCCTGAAATGATAAATCTACAATTCTTTAATACTAAAATGTTCAGAAGACGGCATAACTATTTTGTTATTTTTGGAAAGTGTTGCGAGAAGTTTCATGAAACTCAGGGTAAGTTGCTAGTTTTGCTTTTTATTTCTATTTCTAGTTCTGACTTTTTCTCCATTCCCTAGCAAATTAAAGACCACTTTATGAACTGTAAATTTCTAACTTTCTTTTTTCCCTTTTAGTTTTGATAACGTAATATCAATCCCTTTATTATAATTGTATCTAAGTCAAAACGTACGAAGCATTAAATGATACAGATCATGCTGAAGCCAATGGTGTACCACTGTACCTCCTGCATGACACAAATACGTTGGCACCAGCAACCGAGATAATTAAGAATTTACCCTATCTATGAATATTCAAAAACTATTTTTTCGTGTAGAGAAGAACCTTATAGAAATTTTGAATTACAGCCAAATATTAGGGCTATTGTCTGCCAATTACGTCGATTCACTCTTATTTTGAGTAATATACCATATAAGATGTCACTAGAATATAAATTTACTTGTTGAATTTAATACACCTGATGATAATATTCGTTTGCTTTTCATTTATTTCTCCTAAGTAGGGGACCAAAGCTATTTGTCGAATTTTTATATGAAACCAAGGCTTATGCATGCGGAGGGTGTGGACCACATATTTCCTTTGCATACTAAAAATATCTGCACTATTCAGATATATATATAAAACCCTAAATTTATGCAGCCGATATCTTAGACTTGGACCGACAATATTAATTTCTCAATTATATGTTGAAAATCACAAGCAACCAATAAATTCACGTTGAGAAAATACGCAAGTAGATTCATTTAAGTAAACTGAAAGTTCAATAATAGGAACAAATAACTGTAGTTTTATTCATTTAAAGTAAATTGAGGGTGAGTACGTACAATTCATGCGCATAAGTTTTGAGGATTAAAAACATAGCTAACTTTCTATCTGTAATATATTTTTTTTGTTGTTATATCATATGCACTGTTCAAATTTTAATTGCACTTACGACATTTTTTTAATATCAATCACATTTATATTACTGCTGGTGTTGAACTATAACTATTTGCATAATTATTGTTCACCAGTACTAGTTAGAAAGTCTAAAACTTATAATATACATAATCTTACTAACATGATAGATATGATACCTTCAAAATTTGATCCAACTTATAAAAGTAAATATACAAAACCTATTTGATAAGAAACTGCAAAATAAATAAAATCAAAGGCACGGCTAAGTTTGGCGGTTGGGAAAGTTGAAAAACAAGAAATAGATGGTCGGACACTGGAAACAAAATATTTGCACGCCTCTTTCTCGTCTTCACTGCATCAAAGAACCAGGTCCCACTTCTATTATACGTAAAGGTCCCATTTCAAATGAAAAGTTTTAAATAAAAATAATACCTAAAATGATATAATTAGGATTAAAAATAGTCCAACTCCAGCTCCAAATAAATTTGACTTGTTGACTCCTACTCTCGTCAACGAGAGCGAACGTGTTCTTTGGACATCATTAGTCGACAAGTTCTGATAAAATAAAATTATACAATGCATTTGAAATATACAATAATATTGACAGATACTTTGAAAAAAAGTTTTCAGTTTTCTTTTTATCTAACTTGATATTATCTGTGTGGTTTTCACGTGAGATGGTTAAGTTGGGCCCACACTGTTGTAGTAGCAGGCTGAGAGATCATGGGTCCTACAAACCCAGGATCCGAAATTTCCAAAGAAAACGGAGACAACTTCTGTGTTTATCCGAAAGCCACCCTCACGCTTTAGATTATCTTCATTTGTATTTAATTTTTTTTTGTCAAAATATTTATTCGTTTATGAAAATTGGTCTTTTTATTTTACTAAAGGATAAAAACTGAAATGATATAAAAGAAGAAAATTAAATAAAATGCATTGCTCGACAAAAATCGACATTGTATGGATATATCTATTTAATATTTATAAATCACTCTAGTTGCATTTTAAGGGTTGGATTACTTTGATATGCCCTTTATAGTTTGCATAAAATTATATATGAATTAGGTCATGTTTATTAGAGGTTCTTAGTTTCGGTTAAGATATATTTTTAAATTTTTAATTAAGAAAAATTAAGAACTGATTTTTATCCAAAAATATAATAAAAATGAAAAATATAAAATCATAAATTAAGAATTTCATCCTGAAAATTTTCAATAATTATGCTTTTAGGTGTTCAGAATTACAATGGGCAAAGTCATCAAAGGAAGATATAATTTATAAATACCAGTTTTTTTTTTCTTTTTTTTAACATCTTAATAACTGATGTCTTTGTGTGAGAAATAATTGCAAAATAAGAAATAAATTTTTCATTTTAAACGAAACTTATACTAGAAAGTTGTCGACTATCTTGTTGAAACAAACAATATTACTTTCTTCAAGAAAAAAAAAGTAACAAACAATATTAGTTTGGTAAAATAAATAACGCTGTGAGGAAAAAATTGCTTGAAGTTGTAACACATTGGGCCGGATGTCTAAACCTTAGGCAACCAATTATTTATTACTGGGGTTGTTTTGGGCCCAAATGACACATCTATTTGTGTTTAACATTTGGACTTGTAGTCACACTCTTGTTCATATTTCATATTACGTAAAATCTCTATAAACTAATAATTTATAGAGATATTAATTTACAAAAAAATTATTTTATATATTTTTCTATTTTTTTAACTATTTTTATTTATAAAATAAAATTATATTTTAATTTTATGATATATATATTCATAAAATTTTAGAAATTTGGCTTTTTAATTATTTTATTATATTATTTAGTTTATATTTTATGTTTCATATAATTTATATGTGTTTTTATATAATTTTACTGAATATTATCAAAATATATTGAAATGTTAAAAAAGAATACATAAATTTTCATTGTGAATATAAAATCAATAATATAGTTTAGATTATACTAATAAGAAATGTATATATAGATATATTATTAATTTATGATTTTAATGAGACCATATATTTACATAGGAATTTCTAAAAAGTTATTATCTTATTATTTTATCGATTTATGTCATATTTTGAATCGGCCCAACTCGGAACCAAAAAAAATTATTAATTTATAGATATTATTAATTTATCGAGTATTAATTTATAGAGATTCTACTGTACATATATTTACCTTTAGACTTAACAACCTTAAAGGTTGAATAGTTTTCTCTATAGGATTTTGTTTCAAACTCACCATTAAATTTATAAGTGATGTACCATATATAGACTAAACCTGGTTGAACAAAAAACTATCCAGTTTATCGTTTTCCAGGGTCAAATTTCCAGTTTTGATTGCAAGTGGTTACTACTTCCAAAACACCACAACAAAGATAATACTCGTAAGTCGTAACACACACTAATATCGTGATAACCAGCTACTTGTAACAACCAGTTTGAATGAAATTTATGGATATGAACAAATCTTCTTCTTTTTTTTTTGAATAATAAAACCTGGATATAGACAAATCTTGAAAGCTAAGATATTTAATCTGACTCCTACTGAAACTTATGGACTTTGATTGGTCAGCATTTTGAACCCATATTATCATTCTTGATTATTCTAAGAAGTTGTCATCAGGTGAAATATTTCTTATGGTTTCATCTCACTATGTTTAAACAAATAAAAACATACACTTATAAGGTATTATTGTTATGCCTTGTTCGTTTCATAACCGTTGCTTCGGCAACGACCAAAAATTCAATCTTATAAGGTATTATTGTTATGCCTTGTTCGTTTCATAACCGTTGCTTCGGCAACGACCAAAAATTCAATCTTTTATCATGGCAATACAAACCACCAGTGACATATAGCTGACTTATTTCCCAATCGTAGTGGCAATTTACAACAAGTAATAAGGGAATTGAAATTATCAGCAACACAAGCGATCTGTTTTGTATGTCTCCGACAATCCATTAGCATATCTATTTCAAATTTAGATTATGTTATTTTGGTCTCTGTCATAGTGTACATTTTTTTGCGTCTAGCGTAAAACGAAGAGAACACTATATATTTTATAGTTTTACACCTTTTTCTTCATTACCCCACTATCAGCATTTTCATTTTTTACCTTTTACATTTCTCTCTTGTACTCCACATATTACCAATCACAGCATGATATACTTTTTATCATAATGTCTAGCTCTTCTAGGGTTGAGAAACCAGACAAATGAATGATAAGCCAAGTATCAACTTGGTTCTGCTTCATTCAACTCTAATAATCATCCCTCTCTACTTTAATTGATGTATCTATTCCTTCTCTATGACGTGTTTGTCTCTCTTTCGTACTTTCTTCTGTTATATGTGCTCCAATTGTAAACGTTATAAATGATGTCTTGTCCTTGTAAAAGGAAGATGATTACAAGAATATAACTCAGCTCCAAAAACACAAAAAAGCGCAATTCAAAATTATAGTCCATGGATCATATAATTAACGTCTTAACGATGATTTTATTTTGTGATGTATTATAAATAAACGTTTGAAATGAATTATCCAAACAGCTCGAATTATGATATAGGCAGTCGTAATGAATATTTAAAGAAAGCCGGTTCACTCACGTTGTCTAAGAGAGAAAAAAGGTATTTGGGAACATGATCATATGATTTATGAGTCATAAGCATGATATTAACACGATATGGGGGTCCACCTATATGAATCTACCAGATGAACTACTTTATAAATGTAACCTACAAATTCTTATTCCTCTCATTTTATATATATTATTATAAGAAAATAGCAAACTGCATAAGCACATGCAGAACCGAACTTACACTGCTTGGTTTTTCTTTAACATTTGGTGAAAGTTTGTCACTCACATTTCTAGTGAGAGTTAAATAAAGAAGAATACATACTATAGAAATTAATATTTCATAATCATTTCTCTGTAGTTATCCTAAGCGGTTGAATGAATTATCGCTAATATCAAATCTAATGGATCCAGTCAAGAAAGAAAATCATTTGAAAACAATCCCAAATCAAATAGATGTTTGACCGATGGACTTATATAATCCTGTTTGGCAGATGGACATATTTTTACCGAAAATAGTTGCTCTCAAGTCTCAACAAGCCGTCAAACTACGTGAAATATGGATGTAAATTTATGACGCAACTATACTGTATGGGTACAACCCTCCCAGGTGAAGCGGATCGCTGTCTGACCGGACTCATAGAATGACAGGAAACACTGGATTATTAAAAAAGAAAACTTATACAGTATGGATATTTACTTCTTTACTTGAAGATTCAGGAGGCCAAGTCAAAAGGTATTTTAAAGTAAAATAATTAGAAAAAGTAGAATAATTAGTGATTTGGTCTAATTCGAATTCATTTGTTTCATTCATTTTTATAAAAGTTTACAAAAGTAAAACAAAACAGGAACCAAAGGTTAAGATCAGATCGAATTCCACAAATATAAACTAATCAAAATACAGAATACATTTTGAGAAAAAAAAAAATACATGTGTTAATGTGTACTTTAAATTTTGTTTGGTTGAGTACACGTGAAGAGAAGACTAATTTATAAAACCAGCTGATTCTGGTTTTCGATTCAATTATTTCGTCTCGGTTTAATCCGGTTTACATCGATACACCCTGTAAATGCATATACTCGAAAGTCTTATCCATCCAGAACAAACCACGTGTACATATTACAGTGCTCCTCACCGCAGCAGATTAATAATCCTTTTTCTTCCTCTTTCCCTTTTACACACTTTTAACATAATAACACTCTGTACTCTCAAGTCTAAACTCAGCAACCGCCAATTCCTAGACGCCATTGAAATGCTCTGAATCTCTCTCTCTGTAAGTAACTCTCATCTCCTACACACTTTCAATTTCATCTTCTAAATTCGATAAAAACTTTTTGATCCATATCCTCTCAGAGAGATCTACAAAATGCCGAGGCAAAACCAAAACATGGAGAATCTACTTCTCCTCGGAAAAATCAGGAAACGCGGATGCTCCTCTCCCACGTCCTCAACTTCCTCCGTTCTCAGGGAAGGTTACCGTTTCAAGAGAGCGATTGTAGTCGGGAAAAGAGGAGGATCCACCACTCCTGTCCCCACGTGGAGGCTCATGGGCCGATCTCCTTCTCCCGCTGGCTCTCCGGGACGCGCGCCGCCGTCGCAGTGCGGGAGCAGGACCGGGAGAGTAGCGGCTTCTGCTGCTGCAGCTCCTGTTTCGGCGAGGAAGTTGGCTGCGACTCTGTGGGAGATGAACGAGATGCCTTCGCCGAGAGGTGTGGATGAGGCGGCGGTGGCGCCGAGGAAAGGGAGGAAGGAGAGGATCGCTCCGCTTCCTCCGGCGGCGCCGAGGTCGGCTCGGTCTGGTTCGCTGCCGCCTCACCTCTCTGATCCGTCGCATAGTCCAGTCTCTGAGGTAAAGTTTTATTCGTTTTTAGGAGAGGTTGTTAGAGGTCCGGGTTCGAGTGATAGTTGGGACGAAACTAATATTACATGATGGAGTTTTGAGAGCCTCGGGGATTATGTGTTTCGGCCCGAACATACTAAGGCAAATAGAGTGGGAAATAGAGTAATTCGGCAAAATAGAGTGGGAAATAGAGTAATGAACAAAAAAAATGATTACTCTGTAAATGGAGTAATGACCTTTTCGGTTGTTAGAGATAAAATCTTATTTTTTAGGAGAGGTTGTTAGAGGTCCGGATTCGAGTGAAAGTTGGGATGAAACTAATATTACATGATGTGGTTTCGAGTCTCGGGGATTACGTGTTTCAGCATGAATTTGGTCATATTTTACGGTAAATGGAGTAATGAACAAAAAATGATTATTCTATTAATAGAGTAATGATTTTATTGTTTGTTCATTACTCCATTTCTCATTTTATTTTGTAGTAAAATATGGAATGGGGTAGGAGATGTTCTAAGAAGTTTCCGGTTCGAGGGATTGGTGGGACGAAACTAATATTGCTTGTTGTAGTTTTGTGTATGGGGGGATTAAGTGTTTTGGCCCCGAACCTAGTCTTATTCTTTTTGATTGGTAAGGAGGTAAAAGGAATGTGCTTTGATTCTAAGTTCTTTGCTGGCGCCATGTGCTTTGGTTCTGACCCTTCAAAGGAGAGAGAAACTGATTTGGTTTTGATAAAAAGATCTCAAACTAATGATAAGTCTTATGTGTGATTCTGAGGTCTGAATTTGGTCAACTTGTTAGTTTTTTATTCATCAATGGATGATATATTATTATCTCTCTTTAGGTGTAGTTTCTGATTGATGTTAAGAAGTGGGATTAGAGAGGATTAGAAAACTGTTGATCCTTCAGAATCTTTTGTCATGTGCTCTAAAAAAGACATTTAAGTGCTTATGAAAGGGTATGGTTCCTTTATAAGTTGGTGCCGTTTGGTTTTGCATAATTGAGCAGTTCGACTAGTTTTTTTCTTTGGTTATATGGAGGTAGTTGTGGTTGGTTATTAGCGGTTGATTTATTGGGAATAATTTAGGCCTAGATTCTCTTATAATTGAGACCTAAGAAGGATATATATATAATGGCTAAATGTGGCAATGGACAATGCGAATCCGGCTTTCTTTTACTTATGTGTTAGGTAATAAGAAAGCTGAAAAACTCGTTGGTTTTTGTAGAGGATGGAAAGATCAGGGACTGGAAGTCGACAGAGAAGAGCATCCTCTACTGTGCAGAAGCTTAGGCTTGGAGATCATAATGTGGTGGCTAGGGATCGTATTAGCAATGCTAGCTTCATGGATGTAAGTTGATTTTCTTTTCTTTTTTACTTTTGGGGCAGACAGTGTGTCTTTGAGCATTATAGGGAAATCTTTCTATCTATAGCTTTTATACTTTGGGCATATCTTTGGTTGAGCTGTTATGTCATATGACTTTGGATGAAAGTGCATGATTGAGTTGTTGGTTGTTAACGACGATTATAGCTTTTCTTTCACTTTAGAAGCATACTATGTATATTTTATCATGCACATTGCACATATACAATGTAAGGTAATAAGAGCAACAGAGAGGTACTAAATCCATATGCTTTCACATTGTTTTCTTGATTGCAGATTGAGACAAGATCACGGGCTGAGACACCGACTGGGTCAACTGTTGGAGTCAAAACACGGTTAAAGGATTGCAGCAACGCTCTCACAACATCAAAAGAGCTTCTCAAAATCATTAACAGAATGTGGGGTCAAGAAGACCGCCCATCTTCCAGCATGTCCCTCGTCTCTGCTCTGCATTCTGAGCTCGAAAGAGCTCGCTTACAGGTCAACGAGGTTATCCGCGAACATAAACCTGAAAACAATGACATTACCTACTTGATGAAGCGTTTCGCTGAAGAGAAAGCAGCGTGGAAAAGCCACGAGCAAGAAGTCGTTGAAGCCGCAATAGAATCCGTTGCTGGTGAGCTCGAAGTGGAGAGGAAACTGAGGAGAAGGTTCGAGGGATTGAACAAGAAACTAGGCAAAGAGCTAGCTGACACAAAAGCAGCTCTGATGAAAGCAGTGAAGGAGATAGAGAACGAGAAGCGAGCGAGAGTGATGGTTGAGAAAGTTTGCGATGAGCTAGCGAGAGACATCAGCGAAGACAAAGCCGAAGTAGAAGAACTGAAGAGAGAATCATTCAAAGTCAAAGAAGAAGTCGAAAAGGAAAGAGAGATGTTGCAGTTAGCTGATGCATTACGTGAGGAGAGAGTGCAGATGAAACTCTCTGAAGCTAAGCACCAGCTCGAGGAGAAAAACGCAGCTGTTGATAAGCTAAGGAACCAGCTTCAAACCTACCTCAAAGCTAAAAGATGTAAAGAGAAGACCCTTGAACCTCCTCAGACCGAAGAGTACCTAAACTACCACATCGGTTTTGGTTCATATAACATCGAAGATGGAGAAGTTGAGGATGAAAACGAAGAAGATTCTAACGAAAGTGATCTTCACTCCATAGAACTGAACATGGAGAACAAGAGCTATAAATGGCCTTATGGAGAAGAGAACAACAGAGTAGGGAGAAAGTCAACGCCAAGGAAAAGCCTTTCTTTACAGAGAAGCATATCAGATTGTGTTGATTGGGTTGTACAGAGCGAGAAGCTTCAGAAGAGTGGAGATGGAGGTTTAGATTGGGGAAGATCTATTGAAGTTGAGCCTAAAGGAGGGTACTTAGATGAAACACAAGCTTATAAACCAAGCAAGGCTTCTTCAAAAGATCATCTCGTCTCTGGTCCAAGACTAAGTAACTTCCGTGGTGGATCGGTTTCGAAGTCGCGGTTATCTGATGCAGCCAAAGGGGAAAACCAGAATGCTAGAAAATCGAGATGGTAATGAGGTGAAGCTAGTAAAGTTATTCACATTTTGGTGGGCAGAGATCAAATAGAATCTAAAGACTTTTGCATGTTTTAATGATCTACATTTTCTCTGTTCCCGCTCGTTTTGTCAAGAGTGATTTCTTCGTATGTAAGTTGACAACAACAACAAAAAAAACTTTAATTTTTGGACTGTAAAATGATCCAAACATGTAAGAGCTTGTAAGAATCTGTCTAAAATCATCACTTTCATTCCACCGCTGTCTTCTCTTATAATAAACACAGTTAATTTGGGCTGGGCTTCTAATTATGAGCTTTGCTACTTTGCTACTATGTTCAGTTTCTCAACAAGTTTGACGATTAAGCCCTTTATCTTCCGTATCAATACAATTAAAACATTACTATTCATTTTAATGAATTGTTTATATTTTTCTAAATTATCCATAATCTTATGAATAAATTTATTTTTTCATTAATGATATTTTAGTTTATTTATTTATTTATTTAAACCTAAAAACTATATACTAATGAATTTCATTAATGAACGGTTCTCTTTCAAATTTTATAAGAAATATTCTTACAAAAATCTATTTTCTTTGGGGGTCAGATGAGTCAAATTTTTCCTTCTGAAAAATGACTCAATCCGCTACAGAGCGGGTTGGACGGAACGGGTCGGACTGAGGGATTGAAATTTTGTAACTAAATGATTTTACGAATTAATCAAAAAACAAAAAAAAATCGGACCATTTAATTGTTAAATATATAATCTTTCTCAAGTACACATTTCATGTACAACCCTTGTTAGCTTATTTAGAAACATAAAAAAATCGTCTAAAACATTACTATAAAATAAAAAAAAAAATTATATCCGCATAATAATTTGATTTGATTCTGTGACATTTTATATCATCAAACAAAGTTTATTTATCCATATGTAAATAAAACAACATAAATAGTACCCTTTTTTAAGTGTGGGTCAAAGATTTAGTACAGTATTATAAACCTTTGGGACCTCCTCCAACTGAAGTGGTCCAGGTATGTTTGCCTTTGATCAAAACATTGTTGCAGATATTAACGTCAAAAGTACTTATTGGACTATATAGGTTAGGCATCGGAGGAGCTGAAAACACTCCAGTCAATGGAAATTTTAACAGGCCTATAAACTGGTCTGTTTTTGCTTACGAACTGCATACAGCGTATGATACACACTCTAGCTTGATTTGAATTTGATGTCTTGTCATAAATTTACAGACACAGTATCAGTACAACCTCTAGCGAGAAATTGTCTCTGCAAATTCATAACAAAACATATCAAATTCAAATCTCGATTAAAGCTGGATATTCAGGCCTGAATATAAGAGTAAGTCTGAGACTTTTGAGTTGAAATACATCTAATATGTTATTTATATCCTTGGGTTAACTCAACCTAACGAAAAGCTAGAGAGAGTACTGAACCAAAACTTGATTAAGATGGTTCTTATGTGGTTGAGATTGATGTTCTTCGTGCTCTTGTTTTTATTATTATATTACATGTGGGTTTCAGTAAGTTGGACATTCATGGAAAGACAATACTAGATCACTCAATTTTTAGTTTTGGTCAATTTCAGCTAACACGTGACCCGATATTTAGTTCCCCATTATGATCCTCGCACGGTACTTTTTAACAGGGGCGGAGGCAGCCTAAACTTTTGTAAGGAGCATAATTGAAATTGCTCAAAATATTAAAGGTCAAATTATTAAAACTAAAAAGATATAACAGAAATTATTCAAAGTTTTAGATGTAACTTTAGAAAACCATGGGGGACAAATGCCCCGCCCTTGTCTCCGGTGGCTAACATGTAATACATATCGTTATGGATGCTTGATAAGATCATAAAACTAAAACCATATGTAAATAAGTATGTATATTACTATTGGTTATGGTGTCAACACCTCACATGTTTTTGCTTGAGTTGTTGAAACTGATCATCGGTGGCATCTACGTACTTTGAGCGTATACCGGTCATGTAAATTCTCTTCAAAAAATGTTAGACAACTTTTGAAACTTATAGGAGATTTGTTATTATTATACATACCACATGAGACAGATCTCCTTGTTATCGTTTCTAATTTTATGATCCTTGTTTAGTTGTTTACCTATTTTCCACATTATTTCTGACTTATATGAGACTACGTATAAAAACTATATTAGGTCAACTGTCGCATATGGCCTATTTAATGACTTATTCTTGGGTTCACCCCCTAGGGTGAACCTCTAGGTTCACCAACCAATAGGATGATGTTATTTTATATTTGATATCTTTTAAAAAAAGAAATAATATTATGTTTGTAAAATAAAAATAAAAAAAATAAAAAAAAAACAATATTTAAAAACGCAATTATTTTTAAAAAAAAATATTTTATCGTTACATTATGTTTTTAAATTAAAAAGATAAAAATAAAATAATAACAGTAATAATTGCAAAAAATATTTTTAAAAAATATTTTAATATATCATTAAAATGAAAACAAAATATTGTTACATTATATTGATTTTATTGATTTAATATTTAAAAATCGAAAAAATAAATAAAAAAACAGTATAATTGGTTAATACTAATTTTATTGATTTAATGTTTAAGATTTTTTCAAAAGGTTTATGATTTACCCAAGGGTTTAGGGTTTAGGATTAAGGTTTAGGGTTTAGTATTTATAATTTACCCAAGGGTTTAGGGTTTAGGATTAGAGTTTAGGGTTTAATGTTAAAATATTTTTTTAAATGATTTTTTTTTTATTAATATTATTATTTATTATTTATTTTGTATTTTTATTTTTAAAGACATAATATAATTTAGCAAGATTCTGTTTACTTTTTTAAAAGATATCAAATATGAAATAATGCAATCTTATTGGATGGTGAACCTAGAGGTTCACACTAGGGGGTGAACCTAAGAATAACTCCTATTTAATATCATTGACATGTTGCTGTACAGAAAGTAAGATATCTGGATGTTTGACAAAGTTAACTTGAAACTCGTATTTTAGATTCCACATTATAAAACTCCAAGATAAAAACATCTTGGAGAAAACCAACAAATATGAGTTTTTTTGTCAAAGAAAAATGATTTTCATAAATGGAATTAGGTAAAACTTTTGTCTAATTACTTGCACCCCCCTAAAATTTTCTACTCGATTTAGAGACATTCATTTTCTTTGTGACAGATATAACTTAGGGCTGGGCACAATTACCCGTTACTCGGTTAATACTCGTTACCCGCACTGTATTTGCCCCGCAAAGACAAGTACTTATCATAAACAAGGCAAGTAACAAGTTATGAAATTTAATTACTTGCAAATCTAAGTCAAGTATCAAGTCTTAAAATTATTTTAGTTACTTGACTTTCAAAATATTTATAACATCTATATTGTTATTTCAGATAGTTTAATACTCATGTAAAATACTTTTAAACATGAAAAAATAATGTATACAACATATTTATAGGGAACTTGAGTTGTCATAATACTACGAAAGAGAAAAATAAGTTTTTGATGTCGGAAAAATAGATTATATGTTTTTCAAGAATATAGAACTAAATAATTCTCTCATTTTTTTACCAAATTCTATTCTATATTAGCCCATATCGGGTATAATAGAGAAGTGAAACAAAGATAATGATATAAACAATCACCTATTCTTAAAATTATCGAAATGAGATTTATTTTTAAAAACTAACACACATAAATTTTACTTTACATAAAGCAAGTACAAGTACTCGCAAGTATCTTCAATATGGACGAGTACTTGTTTAACCAAGTACTTGGTGTTAGCAAATACAAGTGCAAGGCGAGTTTTTTAATACTTGGACGGGGCAAGTCGAGTTACAAGTATAGCTAAAATTTCGGGTATTTGCCCCGTGCCCACCCCTAATATAACTTGTCTTTTGCAATGTGGCGTAAAGAATAATTAAACCAAAATGCTAAAGTCATCTCATTGTTTGTTAATCTGCCCATGTCGTTTACACGAATGCTATCAGTTCTAAAGAATCACGTATCTATAAAGGGATTTTAGTCAACGAAGCTGAATCATTTATGAGTATACATTTTTGTTAATTATCTTATCTAATCATAATTAAACTATACCAATACAAATAATTTATATAATACAATAGATCTTATAATATAGATTTTACATTAAAATTAAAACTTCATATAATTTTGAAATACACATAATTTTTGAAACGTTAGATATCAAAAAGTAAAATGGATTTATAGTCTATTGTTTAATGTAAGAGAATATATAAATTTGTTTTACCAAAATCCTTCTCCCAAAAATCATTAAATAACTTCACATGGGAAATTAACTCACATTGCAATAATAATCGCTTGCTTTTGGTGTGAAGTTTCGTGATATTCTAGTCATAACAATTAACTTTGACGTAGCCATTTTTCTATTTCCTAGTTTCTGTACAAGTTTTTGTTATCTTGTGATTAACATTAATATACATTTAATTCTCTTCCTGCATCGATTAAGACACCTTTGCATGTACGTATGCGGTCTATACAAAGACGTATACATATCTGTTTTCATCAATACAATCAAAGACTATTCGTTATCTTCTATCAACATATACTATTCTTAAAAGACCACTTAAATAATACGATCCCCGTAGTAAACGGTTTGATAACAGTTAAAACACTTACAAATATAACAAACTGACATTTTGAAAACATTTTCATAAACAAACTTTCAAATTTTGAAAACGTAATTTCAAAGTCAAATCCACCAACCAAAGTTTGTAGTATTTTGGTTTGTATAGTACATGCATGTATGGGTGAGTATAGTTATAGTCTTATAGATGCTACCAGATATAAAAAAAATATAGTGATCACAAAAAACTAGTATAAAATTTCTACTTTGATTTTAGACAATGTGTCAGCATAGCTAAGGTAAAAAAAAAGTTGTTCTAATTAAGACTAGTCTCTCTAGCTATATTATGTATGATTTCTTATATTTTTTCACCTATTGTAATTAAATTCCCATTAATGAAAACCACTCGCTCTCAACAGTTTTATGTGCATGTTTGTTTTATAAAATGACCTAACGAGAACCAACAAGAAGATTTCTCAATAAACCAAAAACCTTCTCAACCCCCTAAGAGCAAGAGAAAGAGAAAGAGGGAAACGATGAGCCGGATGAACAAGAACGGTCCTAAGCTCGAGCTGAAGCTGAACCTTTCACCACCTCCTTCTCAAGCCGAGCAGATGAGTATGGTTCGGTCTCCTAGCCGATCAAACACAGCTTCACCGAGCTCATGTGTTTCCTATGAAACGAGACAGGAGGAGATGGAGACAACAATCTCAATGGTCCTCGTCGGTTGCCCTCGTTGCCTTATGTACGTTATGCTCTCTCAGGAAAACGCAAAGTGCCCTAGATGCAAAAGCACCGTCCTACTCGACTTCTTCCATGAAAACGCCTCTACAACCGCTCCCGCCGTCACCACTAAACGCAATAAAAAGTTCGAGAATCGCTTGGATTGTTAACAAAGCAGATGCAGATAGAAACATTAAATTGGAAATGGTTAGAGATAATCACTTAGAGATGCTAGTCTAATTCTCTGTTATCTAGTAAGACATGTTTGTTCTTGGTTGAAATGTTGTCAATAATTTTGTTGTCAGTTTTCACAAACAAAAAATGGTTGTAAGTTAACAATGGTAAGAGATGAAATAAATTAGTAGTCTATGGAGTATGGACTATGGTCTTTTGGTTTGTGTACGAATATTTTACTCATGTATTCATAAAAAAAAAATCATTTAGTTATACCTAATATGCATTTTGAAAAACATAATTAACCATCGAATATGCAATTTCTTTTTGGTCAGAGGCGAGCCTACTATGTATTTTTAAAAGAAAAACTAACAAACTTTCAGACTAATTTTTACTCAATGATAAATCCTAAAACTGAACGTTTTCCTACAAAAAAATTAAAGAGATAAAATAACAAGAAATCCTGAAAAATGAAATTATCGATGGAGCGAAAAATAACTGGGATTTCGTCAGACCTGCAAATGGCTAATTAAAATTTAAATGTTCATGTTCAGAATATTTGTGTTTGTTTGTTGCCAAGGGGGTGAAAAGTTAGTTAGAATTGAAGACGGGTAGTTACAGCGTCAACAAATTTTAAAGTGACGAAATCATTTAAATCAAATATAAATGCAATAGTAACTGAGGCAGTTGAAAATAATGAGCGTTACGTAAGAATGATAAATACGTATTTAATTCAACCTTCAATAGCTAAGCAATTAACAATTTCTTCTAACCTTGCTAAGCTAATTTTATTAGCTGCATTCAACTCCAGTACCCTAATTTTCTCCTCTTACCTAATGATCTTAAATTCTCGCTGATCGCGATTTGTTACATTAATGCAACTGAAGAGTTGCAATTATGAAGATGTAACGTCTGTGATTGAAGAAAGTTAATTTGTTTAGAGCATCTTTAAAAGACACGGTATAAATTCAAATATGAAAATTTTGGTTCTTTAAAAACGAAACTTTAAAACTTCTAATTTGAAGTTTTATATTTTTATTTTTATTTGGTCATTACAATTATACATTATATTTATATTTTTTATATTTTATAGTTTATCATTTTAACTCTTAAAATTTTTCTATTTCATAAATTTAAATTTTACACATATTTTTTTCCAAAACAACAAGATAAGATTTTAAATAGTTAAAATTAGAACTAGACTACAACAAATATTACAAGATTTAATGTGGTATCTTATTTATATTTTAATATTTAATTATATATTTTTATTAATAATTTCATATTTCAGTTTAATATTTTACCATTTAATATTGCTGTAATATATTTTTTTTATATATGTGCTAGTTATTGATAAAATTTCTATGAATTTGAAATAGTTATGACAAATATAAAGACCATAATATAAAATACAAATAGTTTTAAAATTAAATTTGAAGTTTTGGCTTTGGAACATAACATTTACAAATTTTATATATAAATCTAAAATAGAACATCTTTTTGGAGATATTCTCAAAAATTCTTGGCCTTCTACCTAGCCCATTGTGATTGTCACAGTAACCGTAGTAAATAACGTTATTGATGGTTCAAAATACATATTTCACAGACCGGTTTATTTGGTTTAAGAGTCAGGATACATTTACTGGAGGTGCGTAAACCGGTTCTTGATCAGAGTGGCTACGTGCTGAGCAACCCACACTGAGCCAGCCACCGTGCAGCAGAACGCGTGCGTGTGACCTTCCCTCTCAATAGATAAGGAAGTACCAGGAGCCTGCTTTGAAATCTGAACAAATGAAGATTCTATGAGAGGGACTCTTCCTCATGTGTCAGAAAATGCATTTAAAGATAAGCTGAGAAAGTGAAACTAATTTAACCTCTTCAAAGAGATGCAGTGGACCCCAATGATCATCAATGCCAAATAAAAATGCAAGTTTGCTCTGGTGTTCTCTCATGAACTCCCAATCTGGCTCTGCTGCGAGCTTTTATGCAAACAAAAAAACGGTGAAGTAATGAATGTCATGTTAAATGCATTGTTAGATATTAATTACATGTGCAAATGCTTAAGCATGTTTTACTTTACTGTACTTTGAACTTATATTTAGACTCTCTAAACTCCGTTAAGGACACATTGTTAAAGAAGAAAGGCACCTCTATAAACTCTGTCATTGCCATATAGAGAACATTGCGCATGGTGTGATACTGCAAGGGAAGAAAAAACAAGAGTGCAAGAACTTTTATAATGATTTTTATTTGTGAATTTATACAGCTATGCTCTAGGGTGACTGCAAGTGAGGACTAAAAAAAGACAATACCTGTCTTAAGTGAGTGCAAGTAGCTTGAACAGCAGTATCAGACCATGAAGCTCCAAGGGAGTTGGATACAAGCAGACGTGCAGCCCACATAGGTAACAGTCTCAGTGATGCAATCAGAAAACTTGCTGTAGCCGATAGAACAGAAGACCTGAATGAAGATTAACTGGTGAGATTCTAAATAAAGATGATTTTCATTGGTTATTTTCTTCATGAGATATAGAGAAGGAAAGCTCACGCTGCGAGTTTTCCAATTAATAATTGTTTTGTTGACTGTTTGTTCAGAGTGAGAAATGGATATAAGCCAACGCAGTATACCACCTGCAAAGCAATCCAGAGAATGTAAGATGATAACACAATGCGTAGAGAGAAATTAAGATATAGGACAGTATCATAAAACACTCTCAGTCTATACCTTTTCAGAGAACTTCCTTAAAATGTCAAGGGATATATAAGACCCAATGGAGTGTGCAACCTAGCAAAAGTAGTTAAATGGATATTTATGTAGAAGCTATATGCCAATGAAAACATGAGACAGAACTAGTTCTTACAAGTATTATTGGAACCTTCGCTCCCTCCATCTTCTGTCTGATATAATCAACCTGCATAATAATAACTAACATATTTTGATTACTGGATAAAATTCAAGAAATTGAAATGATTTATTTTGAACATTAGAAGGAAGATTGTTAAATTTGTATATTACCTTATGATCGATTTGGTCTTGTAACGAAAACAGCCTCCCAGACTCCCAGTCCTAAAAAACGAAATAAAAGAATGTAAATCATCAAGCTATCATGAAAGTAAAAAAAACTAAGAAGCAACCATCAAACTGCAACATATGAAGCCAAGTTATGGTATACCTTGCTCGTCTGAGATATTTGGCCAATAGCTATGCAAGAACAAAAAACAAACCAGTTTAACCATTTGAGGGAAAAAAGAACAGAATCAAACTCAATGGATTCACCGAAAACAAACTAGAAATTAGAGTGGCCATACCGGTTATAGATGCATTTCCATGAAGAAACTCGTATAAAGATTCCAAAAAGTCCTTGTAAAATGGCACAACACCTAAAAGACGATGTATATACAAACATAAATAAAATATTTATATGATCATATCTCTAGTAATAGAAAACGAAACCTGGATTTCCCGGGATGAACAATACATGGAACTTGGGATCCTCAGCTTTAATTTCCATTATCTCCGTCATCAAACTTGATCACATAATATAAAAAGAAAAAAGAAAAAAGAGTGGAACTATTAATCAAAAACAGAGTCGAACAAGATTCAACTAATTAGAAAAAGATACCCAGAAACTCTGCACAATCTGGAAGTAACAGGTGTTTTAGCTTTGTTCATCAATTCCTTTTCACTCTCCATATCTTCCGTCACGCGACTCAGCCTATATCTTCTTCTACGAGAACTTAGACATAGATCAAGTAAAAGACGAAACAGAGAAACACAGGAAACGTGAGAAAAAATTATGTTTTTTAATATTCAAAGATTATTACAATGAACCATGTGGTGCATGATCACCTGAAACAACATAAGGAGTAGACGATAGGCCTGTTCTTTTGCTTGACGCCGTGTGGCAGCGTCAGCGTTCAAAATAATGCCTAATTTTAAGTTTCTTGAGGCTCAAAGATGTGGTAATAAACGGCAGCGGTATCCGCGCTTGACTACGAAGGCAATTCCGATGAACGCAGTTTTTTTCAGTGTCACTAACATCACCGGCAACACTCTGTAAAATAACCGCAGCGACACAAACTTAAAAGACGCTGGCGTTAATTATAATCTTTCTTTCCTTTTTTCAAGCTTTTTTTAGTCGCATACTGCCGCACGGCGTCAAGCAAAAGAACAGGCCTAATATGGAGAGTAGCGTAGAGACGGAGTTACCGAAGGTACAAGAAGAAAAAAGAAGTCCAAACCGCATTGTTTGTTTCCGCAATTAGTATATAACGTTGGGAATTGGAAATACAATTTTTATTTATTTTCTTTCTCGTTACTTTTAACAACATCGTTTACGCGACGTCGTTTCGGAGTTTTGAGGTCTTTCCGGTTTTATCTCCAAAGAGAGGTCGTTGAGACACGCACAGAGATAGGTGTTTTGTAACACTAGAGTAACAGATAGAAGAGTTGCAAAGTGTTTATCAATGGCGTCTATAGCTTCTTCAACAACTCTCATCTCCTCCTCCACTCGAGTTTCTCCTGTCAAGTCGTCGCTTCCATCTCCCTCCCTCTCTTTCCTTAGAAACACATCCTCCCCTCTCCGCTCTGGTTTTGCTCTCCGCTCAAACTCTCGCCGGAGCTTCGCTGTCAAGGCTCAGGCCGTAAGTTTATATCAATGCCGACACTTCTTCTTTGCTTTAGTGAAAATTGAGTGACGTTTAAGCTATATGCTCTCGATGACTTATATTGACTGCTCCATGTGTTCTATGTAGCTTTGACAAAGCACAGATTCTCTGACTAGTTGGTTTTGAGATATCTTTGCTCATTAGATTTTGATGTTGTGAATGATTTTATTTCTTTTTTGTGTGTTTATAGGATGATGATCTTCCTTTGGTTGGAAACAAGGCGCCTGATTTTGAGGCTGAGGCTGTCTTTGATCAGGAGTTCATCAAGGTACTATCTTCTCTAAAGAACCTTTATTTTTCTAACAATTGTGTGAAAACATATACCTGCTGCTACTATTTGATCTGAGACATAAGTTTGGGCTTATTGTATAATGGTTTCAGGTTAAGCTCTCTGAGTACATTGGGAAGAAGTATGTGATTCTCTTTTTCTACCCTTTGGACTTCACTTTCGTCTGCCCAACAGGTTACCATTTGCTTTATCTAAATTGATTATTCACTGCGTCCTAATCTCTTTTTCATTTTTTTTTTTGTCTTGTAGAGATTACTGCCTTCAGTGACCGGTATGCAGAGTTTGAGAAGTTGAACACAGAAGTGTTAGGTGTCTCTGTTGATAGTGTTGTAAGTATTAACACTATTCAGTAAACCACCATATTCTTTACTCTCTTTTTTTCTCATCCTTCTTTGTTTGCAAATTGCTTGACTCGTCTCTGTTTCTTTTGGTTGGTGTCCACTTAGTTCTCCCACCTTGCGTGGGTCCAAACAGACAGACAATCTGGAGGGCTCGGTGATCTCAACTATCCCCTTGTTTCAGATGTAACTAAATCAATCTCAAAGTCTTTTGGAGTGCTTATCCATGATCAGGTAGCCTTCTCAATCTTTTGCTTCGTTTAAAACTTTTCAAAGTGTTTGTGTTGATAAAGAAGAGAACTTCCAGGGAATAGCACTGAGAGGACTTTTCATAATCGACAAGGAAGGAGTGATCCAACATTCAACCATCAACAATCTTGGTATTGGCCGAAGCGTCGATGAGACAATGAGAACCCTCCAGGTAACCATTACTCAAAACCGCTCTTTCTTTCATCCTATTACAGTTTTGCTTGATGCATATTTTCTCAATGTTGCAGGCCTTACAGTACATCCAGGAAAACCCTGATGAAGTCTGCCCTGCAGGATGGCAACCGGGTGAGAAGTCAATGAAACCTGACCCAAAGCTCAGCAAAGAGTACTTCTCAGCTATTTAAAATAACTTAAAGTACAAAACACTTTGTTATAAGTGACAGTGAGCACAGAGTTTGTTATTATTCTTTTCTCTTACACTAAACAATCTTTCTGCAAAATGTATCAAACCAATTTCTTCACAAGTCCCTTTTATATGAATATATATCATTTACATTTTTCATTATCAATACTGAGAATCAAGAACATATCAGATCAAATAGAATATTAATATTTTCACAGTTCCTAAGTGATGAGTGTAAACAGTTCCTAGCAATATAATTTTTCAGCATCCAAAGAAAATATACTGTATAAATATGTTCTGTAAACTTTCACTTGGAGTTTAAAAACCATATAAACAAATCAAACAAGAAATGTATCTTCAAATCCAATACCACCACATAATCTTTTCCAACATAATCCATATAGATTACGAATATTAAAAAAAAAAACATGAAAACAAGTCATAAAACTAAAAGTTCACCTAACGAAACTCAAAGTTACACTGCACAGTCTGAAACTTAAACCCGCCAGTCAAATTAGAGGCACCCAAAGGAACCTTAAGATCATCACACCCAATCTTCGGTTTGACTTTCCACGACTTAACAACCCAAAACTTAAACCGAACACTCATAACCAACTTCACATCAACCCGGTACACTCCGGTTCCCTCATCCTCCTTCAGATCCTCCCTCGCTCCCTCCCCAAGCACCACCAGATTCTGCCCCTCCATCTTCGTAACAACCACCGTCGTGTTCTTCCTCCCCTGATAAAACGGCGCCACGTCGACAGATCCGAACCTCTCCCCTCCGTAGTACCCACTCACCTTGACGACGTCGTAGTAGACTCCTAACCGCTGGTTAGGGTTCCGGATCGTGAAATTGAGGTCGAGGTCGTAGTGGAGGTTGCTGTTGTTGGTTGAGTCGAGGCTGAATCGGTTTAGGTTTGCGTCGGCGACGTAGAATTTGACGGCGTTGGGGCGGAAGATTAGCCAGAGGATCAAGGCGGTTACGGCGAGGATCACGGCGACGGCGATGAGGATGTTCCAGATTAGGCTTAGGATGCAGCAGCCGCAGCATTTTAGGCAGCTTCCGATGCAGCTTCCGATGCAGGTGAAGCAGCAGCAGCCCGGGGGGGAGGAGGAGTTGTATCGGCGTTTGGATTTTGACGGCGGCGGGGGAGGGATCGATGGGCCGTAGTATCCGCCGTTAAGGTGTGGTTGTTTGTCTCCCATGTGTTCGATGAAATGCGTCAGAGAGAAACAAATCTTTAGAGAAGAAGAGGAGGAGGAAAATATCTACGACGTGGTGTTGTGGTTTTATTTAAAAGAATGGTTAGTGAATGTAACGCGTTTTTTAAATAAGGAAGTGAATTTCGAAAAGACGTGTTTAATTCTGATTTGGTGAGTAAATGCTTTCTTGTTTTGGTTAGATATTGATGAAATTAAAACCGGTTAACTCTTTAACCAACGGTTTAGTATTCAAAAAGAAAGTGCCGTTACGTTTACAGAGAAAGTAGCCTTTGAATTTGGTGTGTGTGGTCAGAGCTTTTTCAAAAATCGATAAGCATTTCGAATATATAAAATGTTTACTAACAAGTAACAACTATCCGTTTTATTATAATAAAATTTAACTAAGGCTCCTCTGTTAGTAACAAGTAACAACTATCCGTTTTATTATAATAAAATTTAACTATAAGGCTTCTTTGTAGCTCTCATGAAACATTAAGTAGAGGTCACGTTTGTCTCTCACTACATGAGAAAGAAGAAGATTTAAACGTGACGTGTGATAGCAAGCTTAAAATACGATAATCTTTTGAATGTGTATTGATCGATGATTTTTATAAGAATGTGGTGTGGTCAGAGCTTTTTCAACGATTTATAAGCATTTCAAATATAAAAAGTTTACTAACAAGTAACAACTATCCGTTTCATTATAATAACTAGTTGCATACTCTCCGCGCAAGCGCGGAGCCGGAATCATTATGTTTGCGTATATTTTTTCGATTTAGTGGTTTAGTGGATTCTTCTAATGACACCAAATATTAATGAAATGGAAAGAATGTAGTAAGAGTGTAAAGTGAAAATATTGTATATCTAATGTGTTAAATGTTATTTATATGCGAAATAAGATTTATAGGAACAATTAGGTTATAATATAGTTTTTAGTGTGTAAAAGTTGGTGTCTATTTTTTTTTATTTTTTGCTGTAAATAGTTTTTATATCGTATGTCAAAACTTGATATAATTCTATATTCATAGTATTTATATTTTTATTAAACGATTTATCAATTTAAAAATAACCTTAATTAAGTTAATATTCGTTATTTAAGTTTCATTAGATAGGTTTTTATATATGGTTTTTTGTAAGTTTGGGTTTTGTTCATAAATGATAGAGCATTTTTATCTACGGCGTCATCGAGGAATCCATTCGCCGAAGTCTAGAGTCGGTGGTGAGGAATGTTTTCAATGAAATTATAGTAGTTATTAAAATGTAAGAGAAATTACATATTCATTTAATAAATAACGAAAATACTTAAATTTTGTTGTTTATTTTATTTTATTTCACATACAAATTTTTTGAAAATATATTAGGAATGAGTTAAATCTTATTTATATGCGAAGTAAGTTTATAGGAATAGTTAGGCTATAATATAGTTTTTAGTGTGTAAAAGTAGGTGTTTTGTTTTTGCTATAAATAGTTTTTATATCGTAGGTCAAAACTTGATATAATTCTATATTTATAGTATTTATATTTGTATTAAACGATTTATCAATTTGAAAATAAACTTAATTAAGTTAACATTCGTTGTTTAAGTTTCATTTTAGATAGGTTTTTATATATGTTTTTTTTTGTAAGTTTGAGTTTTGTTAATAAATGAGGTGGCATTTTTATTTACGCCGTCATCGACTGTGGGAATCCATTCGCCGGAGTCTGAAATCGGTGGTGAGGAATGTTTTCAATGAAATTATAGTAGTTATTAAAATGTAAGAGAAATTACATATTCATTAAATAAATAACGAACATAATTAATTTTTGTTGTTTTTTTATTTTATCTCACATACAAAATTTTTGAAAATATATATTAGGATATATGTGCAATGATTTCACTTTTTTAGCTTTTAATCTATATTATTCAAGCCTCATTAAGCCATCCTAGGTAGCCGCGTGGGATTAACTTCTTTTTTTTTGGTCGGTTCGTTTTTGGATTCATTTTTTATTATTTTTGGGTTGAACTATATTATAATAGGATAATTTTAAGGCTCTTTAAGCCATCCGCGTAGGCAACCGCGTGAGACTTGCTTTTTTTTTATTGTTCGTTTTTGCATCCATTTTTAACTATTTTAGTTTGAACTCGTTAAACTTTAGGGTTTATCCAACTATTTTGATCTTTAAAACAATAAGTCATAAAAAAACATAAAAACCTTACAAACAAAAAATCCATATGATAATAAACCAAATAAAAAAATCAAAAATAAATGATGGCTGCGTAGTTTGAACCCACAATCTTGCATGCTCAATTAAACACCTTATACCACTTGGCTAAAGTGTATTTCATTGTTTGTAATCATCTTACCAAGACTATAAGCTTTTAAAAAATACCTATGGGACCCACAAAATTGCTGACGTGGCGCGTTGTGAAGCCTAGAAAGTGTACTATTATAATATAGATTTTAATTATAAGGCTTTTCTGTAGCTCCCATGAAGCATGGTTTAAAGATTGTTACTTGTTAGCACGTTTGTTTCTCACTACAGAATAAAGAAGAAAGATTTAAACGTGATGTGTGATAGCAAGCTTAAAATACAATAGTCTTTTTCGGATGTGTATTTGATCGGTGGTTTTTATAAGAATTATTACATTATTATTCAAAATAGTCCAACATCAGTTTAATGTCTTTAATCAAAGCGACCGAAACGATCACGCACACATTGTCTGTACAGAACTTCATCGTTTTGGTTCAGCTGTTGGCTGTTGTCATCATAGTATTATCCTAAAGAAATCAATATACTCATAGTTTAGTCTCAAGTCTCCCCTTTTTGCTACTGTCTCATCAGTGAACCAATTTTTGTTGTTGTTTTGGAAGTAGCATCAGTTTCGTCCATCCCTCATAGTTGTTTCCATTAAACAAAGCAAGACAAATTAAAACAGTGTGGTGTGGTGTTACAATAGATGACTAGAACTTGCCATCTTCATTAGATGGCTAAAGATACTAGGCCGTAACAAACCCCTAACGAATAGCAATTGGGCCCAACATTAATAGACTAATCGACCCTGCTACATACGCGTGATAGGTTAAGTCTAGTTATGTTTTAGATTATACTTTTAAATTAGTGTTCTAGGTGAGTGAGGTATTTTGCTATTACAAAAAAATTGAACACAAAACATTATAGATTTGGAGAAATATGTATAGAGTGTGATTGGAAGAAATTCAGTGCCGTATGTGAAAATATTTTACATCACTTACCAGTGAAACCCATAAAGTAATGATTCATGAATACCTAAGAACACCTACAATCGAGGATTTTTACGGCAGAATTCTTATCGGAATAGAAAAAAACCGTCTTTTAACTTTTAACTAAAAAAATAAAAATTGATTCTTAAAGGTTTTGTTTAAAAACCAGTTCTTAACTTTTTTAATTAAAAATTAAGAGACGGATTCTTATATTTCGTTAAAAACCCCACCGTAAAAACTTCTTATTGGAGAGACTAAATATTCACGTTCACTAACGTATTTAGTTATATTTGTTTTGCTTCGTATAAGATTAAATTTGGAGATTGATAAATTGTATATATAATCAGCATGGATTAATTCAAAAAATGTGTAAGTACTATATTGAATCAATTATCAACTACCTCGACTTTCCGATGTTGTACATTATTTTAGACGTTAGGTGAAAAAGACCATTTTTATTAAATTATGTGAGTTTGGCAGTGTCTTGTACATATATTGTAGCTATTGTCTGTGTGTGTGTGACCGCCCACATACCACGTTCATTACCATCTTTTTTGTAAAAGAAAATTCAAGGTTAGGTTTCTCAATCAACTTTATTTGAGAAAAGCATGTGTATACATCATGTGCTCTGAAATCCAACGAATAAATTCGACAAAACTAGATTGCATAATTCTCCCATAGTTATTTTAAATTAGACATTCCCTCGATTAAAACATACATTAACAAGACTAGATGTTGATTGTCTAACTACCGCTTTGATATACAAAGACCACTTAATTAAACTTTAATGAGTTTATTAAATCAAATATAAAAAGTCTAACTCATTTCTGTAAAGTACGAAAAAACTGAATGTGTAATAGTTGTCTAGTTGATGCGCGCATAGACTGATTCTTAAGGTTGGTTTAGACTTTAGATTAAATTAAATTACATAACTCCGTCCCGAGTTAGTATAATTGACTGACTTTTACAGATTACATTAGGTTATTTTATTCAACGGTTTAAATAATAAGTTTAAGGGACCATTCTCATTATTAATCACATTTCTTTGTCAATAGACTCAATACTGAGTGGACCATATTTTAAATTAAATGAATGAAAATAGTCATAGCAAGAAATTAAACTTCTTGAACACGTCCCGAGCTGTTGAGAGCTACGCGATGATCTTGACGTCACAGTCCATCTTGGATCCTAATTGCAGCCAAGTAAATTCTAAATCTAAATAATACTAGTAAGAAACAAGCTGAATTCTTGTGAAGTGTACTTGTAACAATGAGTACAGGGTTCTGATTTTCTCATTGCAAGATCCAAGAATATTCACGATAACCCCTATGTCACGTCACACTTTCTAACTTGAATGTTACGTAACATTTTAGAAGGATATGCTTTATTGTACAAGAAAACCATATCTTTAAGCACATCATCACTAGACAAGAAAAGTCTACAAATCCACATCATTTTTCTTTTTGAACTTTCTTATTTGTTGTGGAATATTGTAGAAATATATATTAATGGACCTCGATTTAATTTAAGAAAAAGATGGAGACACACATATATGGAAAATGACACCATAACACAACGTCCACAAAACATTAACGAGTCATAATCTATTCGATAATGTTAATTTCTATAGCCGTCCAACTATAACAACTACTAAAAAAATCATCAAAAAAGTTTGTCGCAAAAGTCGATTTGATAGGATCACAAGATGCATATTAGTCACCGAAAATACATTTTAAGAAAATTACAACTTAAAAAGAGAATTTAAAATTTAAATTCTTACAAGTTACAACTCGTTGCAACAAAACAACATCACGGATCTATAACATTTGCCAACGTATAAGCAAAAATGTACAATTAACACCACTTATGATTATTAAGAAGAAAGACTATATAGTATCTTCGCACCGTCGCAGTTTTAGACACTAACACTACAACCACGAGCATACGTATACTTAACAGCGTTATCTCCGACCACAACTCCGGAACCTCTATTATTACCAAAGTTAATAAACGCCTGACACCTCACATAAAGATGATACTTCCCTGTAATAAACGTCCCAACCTTCCACCTCACTCTACCGTCAGCACGAATATCCAACACAACACCGCCGTTATCTTGATCGCCGTCAAGACTAACGCCGTTAAAAGGAGCGATGGGGACGGAGGTTCCGTAGACAAACGGCGACCAGATGTTGACTTCTTTGTGTCCTTGGTACGTAGGAGGGATGGATGTTCGGTAAGTGATCTGTTGGCTCTGGTAAGTAGCGTAGACCTCAAGACGGTCGTAGTAAATACCGATCTTGTCGTTAGGGTTACGGGAAGAGAGAGTGATCTGGAAGTTTGAGGAGAGGAGGTTCGGTGGGTTTCCGGAGACGTTGAAGGCGTAGACGGTGGCGTCTTGGAGGATGAAACGTGGCTTTGAAGGTTGGAGAATTGCCCAAATGAGGAGGATTGTGAGGAAGACTAGGAAGAAGAAAATGATTATTGACCATATTATGCGACGGATTAGTTTCCGGCGAGAGTGGCTATGGGAGCCACAGTCTTTGTAAGACATGGTGGTGGGATTTTTTGTTCTCTCCGGTGGTGGTGGAGAAGTTGTTAAGGGGACTTTTGTTATGTTTTGGTTGATGTGGTGTATGCTTTATACTTTTATAGAAGAATGATAAGCAAATAAAGGTATTCTTTTATTTATATTAAAAAAAAACAAAACGATAATAGTAGTTGTTCATGTATTTTTATGAAAGCAAAAAATTTATATACAAATGATGCATGGTATTTTCATCATCTTACAAGTTATTTATTTTTGGTTAATTAGTGTAAACTTAGAACATGATTAACTTGAGGTTCTTAGGATGAGATTTTTAGTAGAATTTAAGAAACTTTTATTAACTTTTAACTAAAAAACTAAGAACCAGTTCTTAAATAAGGATTTTAAGAACAAGTTCTCAACGTTTTTAATTAAAAATTAAGAAAGTTTCTTAACTTTTAGTTAAAAACGCTGAGAACCACATTCTAAGAATCCTGGGTTAATCATGTTCTTATGTATTTACATGGTTTTTTTAGTGTACAGATCACAAATGTACATGTTCAGTCAAGTATTTTTTTAGTGTAGTACATGGTTTACATGGTACTGTATTGGTTGTTGAATACTACTTTCATTTTAGGTTCTGTACATCAATGAATATATATGTATTTGTTTCTAGAAATGCATGTTGAAAAATGTGAAATAGAAGATGATCATAGGTATGGTCGGTCCATGCTTTCTGTAGAAAGGTGACTTTTATGTGTGGTCGACGATTTTTTTTTTCTTTAGTGGCTCCAACAATAAAGCCATTACTAATATAGCTGGTAAATTTACTTCCAAGTTCCTCATTGGAAAATGAAACTCAATGGAAACTTCTAAACCAGTTCCTTATGTTTTTCATTTCCCATATTTTTTTCTAAAAAGTGAAAGCAAAGATATATAGATACAACGAAACAAATGATTAAATGCAATTCGTAATTCAACAAAATTATGGATGATAAATAATCGTAAAATCATTGTCCATTGAGCCATTTATGTTTTAACATTCTGTTAGCATTGGTGTTTTAAAGGATGTTGACAAACATTTTAACCAACTCAGACATACAAGAAGTATATATAGATCAATGGAGCTATCACATGGGTAGATGAATATTCAATACCTACAAACTTTTAAGTAATAAATGCATGAACAAATACTTTGTATACATATATGGATTAATATTAAGCGATATATAGAGACTGAAAGAGAATTTCATCTATCCACGTAAGTCCCCCATAAAGGAAAAGAGGACGTAAGTGACCTAACACTAATTGCCAAAAGAGAGACCACCACTTGTCCGTCATCTCTATATGTCTTGTTCCGTTGATTAATAATTACAGCAAGTGGTCTAAACATTGTGTTGTAATTAGATTGGGAAATAACATTTTCAGAGAGTACTCACTAATTATTGTCTTTCTAATTGATATCGGTATTGGTCGACATAGCTGAATGAAAAACTAATATTACTATGATACGATACATGTATGTAGCTAGGCGTTTTGCACGTAAGGAAATACATCATATCAGATATTCATATTTTTACCAACTTGATAGTCTGGATTCATAAGATGAAGAATAAAAGAGAATAGCAAATATGGTTACATGGTATAGTTGATATATATCTCTATAATATTATTTGAGAAGTCAGTTTCCTACGTGTCACGCTCACGTTAACTCTCACGATGGTTGATTACATAGATACCCTTAATGAATTGTTAAATTTTAAATTTATTATTAATTCTTTTTTAACTTTTTCCAAATAACATATAATAATAAAAAGGAAATATTTCTAAAATTTTAAAACAAATTTAAAACGAAAAAATATGTATATATTATGACTTTATTAAAAAGGAAAGTTCACAAAATAGTAATATCCCCATAATATATATTTTTAAATAAAAAATTTTGAAAATAATAAAATATATATGTTCAGAAACATTCAAAAATAATATCCCCATTAATATATATTTTTAAATAAAATATTTTCAAAATTATAAAATATATATGTTCATAAACATTCAAAAATTTATCAGTTACACTTTATTTTCTAATATTTTTTAGAAATCAACATATAATTTGATAAATATTATGAAAATACATGTATATTTAAGCGATAAATAAAATTAATTTGATTGGACTTAATTAAAATAAAAAGTAATTATACTTCAAATTTTAATTTAAAAATATATTTAACTCATTATACTCACAAAACGAATGATTCGACTAATCTAATTTATATCCAAAATTAATTATATAACTACAATAAGAGCATATAATTTTATAATACTAATAATAATAATAATAATCTCTTTAATTTATACATAAAAAATTAGAGGTTGACTCAAAGCATATTAAAAAGAAAAATAAAATATTAACCAATTACAATTTAATTCTTTTGTTGAATTTATATATATTCATGAGACTTCAAAATATTATCATTATATTCATTTATGTAATTGAATTAAACACTTCAGCTTATTATTTATTTCATTTTAAGTACAATATATATTAAGTTATACATAATTTAACTATAGTATATTTACATATTTAAGACAATAACCAAGCGAAAAATAAGAAAATTAATCAAAGTTTTATTATATTTAAAATAAAAAAATATTATAGCTGAATTCGAAAAATGAATATTATCCAATATACCAAATTGATAACCAAACCAACTATTGATCCAAAAAATAATTAAACCGACAATAATATATCCAAAGTCATATATATAATTAGAATAATATAATATTTATTAATATAAATTATACATATAAATTTATTCGAAACTAAAACTAAATATCAATCAATTCTTATAAAATTTTACTTTTATAAATATTCATACGGGAAAATCACCTAGTTCCAATAAAACAGAGACAAATTAAGCAAAGAAAAGAAAAGCCCATTACTCATATAGATAAGGGAGATTCTGAGCGAAAAATAACGTACGACCATAAACACTAAAATACACAAACCGGTAGATACACAGAATTGTCAGGCTATCTTAAACTATAACATTCCAAACAATTCTGGACGCACCTTTTTGCTTTCGAAAAATTCACTTTCTGTGCAATGCCCCATCCTTAATTAACATCCCATCGAGAAAGGTCGAAAGGCTGGCAATGCCGATGGTCCATGGATTACCCATTTTACTATTTGAGATAATAATACTGATCAAAATTCTTGTTTTCGTGCCAATTTTCTAGTAAAATTAAAAAGCACTTAACCGACTCGGGATGTCTAGAGTGTAGACCAGTCCAATAAAAACCCTACCTTCTCTACAGTATAAACGCTAAAATAATTTGTTTTATGTATGTAACTCTTTGGTGACTACAGACTACTTCATTATAATAATAATGAATCGAGACTATAGATTAGTTGTTGTTAATGGAAGTAGTATGTATTATCCACTCACCTTCCTCTCTCTTTCCATCTTGACAGCTTCGGGTTTGCGATTACGCCCCTTTTTACTTTTCGGTCTAGAAACAATATTTAGCGTCGGCGCATCATGTTAACAGGGACCAAAACTGTGCAGTAATATATGATTCGAGTCTAATGGAATTTGGAGGTTCTCTAAGTCTATAGTCAGAGTCAAATGCATCATTTTAGTACGGACCAAAGCTGAAAACTCTTATAAATATAACTTCGTTATGTTTTGAGAGTTTCGATTTTTGTTAACTTTGATCTGTTTGCATTTTTCCTGTTTAGCTACTGCTTTATATGATTAGAAGTTTGCGGATTGTAATAAAATTCAAGCAGATGTTCAATTTGGGTTAACCGAACCGAAACTTTACCGGAAAGTCCGGTTTTCTCTTCCATAGCGCTAGCATCTGGAATTTGACCAAAGAAAAAAAGAGTACAAAATTTTAAATCCCACGTGGCACCTGTTAAGTCGGCCAATATTTTAAACGGTAAATGGGCTTCAATCAAGGTCCATATAAGTCCCATTTTTATGATGTCATTGTCATGAGCCCATGCCTTGTAGGACCTGATTCTCTAGAAGCCAGCACGTGAAACAATCGTGATAAATCTCGTAAACCAATTAAAACACGCCATGTCATTGACCAGTAGGACTCATGCCACGTCAGCCACGGGTCAAGCGGTCATCATCGTCCGACTTGGTATATTCCTCGTGTTATCTTTCCAGAACCATATAGAAAGAGAGAGAGAGAACCAATTTAACAGACTCATCCAAATGAATCTCAGCCGTCCATTCCCCACCCTCTCTTCTTCTTCCTCCTCGACAAATCGTAACTAACACCTTCACGAAATCGAAGAAAACCCTAAAAAAATCATGGCTAAAGAGATTCAATCTCCTCCGCAATCTCCGTCACAAACCACCGGGATCACGTTCTCCTCTCCCTCTCCTTCTCCTCCGTCTCTGTCGATGATGTTATCCTCCACCAACAACGCGTTCTCGCTCCTCTCGAAAGGGTGGAGAGAGGTACGAGACTCGGCCGACGCGGATTTGCAGCTGATGCGGAAACGAGCCAACTCAGTGAAGAATCTAGCGTCGACGTTCGATCGCGAGATCGAGAATTTCCTCAATAACTCGGCGATGTCCGCGTTTCCCGTTGCTCCATCGTCGTCGTCGTCGTTTTCGAGTGAGATTGGGATCATGAAGAAGCTTGAGCCGAAGATATCGGAGTTTCGTAGGGTTTACTCGGCGCCGGAGATTAGCAGGAAGGTGATGGAGAGGTGGGGGCCGGCGAAGGCGAAGCTGGGGATGGATTTATCGGCGATTAAGAAGGCGATTGTGTCGGAGATGGAGATGGATGAGTTGGAGATGAGGAGACGGCGTGTTGATAGCGATAGGTTTAGGGAGTTTTACGCGGAGAGGGAGGGAGAGGAGGGAGGTTTTGGAGATTGGAAGCCGATTAGGTCTTTGAAGAGTAGGTTTAAAGAGTTTGAGAAACGAAGCTCGTTGGAGATATTGAGTGGTTTTAAGAACAATGAGCTTGTGGAGAAGCTTAAAACCAGCTTCGTAAGTTTTTAAAGATTTCAGAAGTCTCTACATTGCTGTAGAAGTTGGATTCTCTTTTAGTTTACTCTCACTTTGGCTGAGATGATAGTTTTTTTTTTTTTTTTGGAATGATTAGTTTGAGTTTCTTAAGGTAATTTGGCAATTTTTCTAATGGTGTTTTCTCTTTTTGTTGTATTTGCAGCAATCACTTTACAAAGAAACTGATGAGGCCAAGGTTGGTATTTTTGAAGTAGCAACTTTCTCTCTTCTAAGTTTAACAGTAATTGCACCCACTAATGTTGAGATTGATACTCGTGTGGTTTCTTGATTTCTTTTACAAATAACTTGTTAATATGCTGGAATAATTTAGTTCAGTGTTCAGTCAGGACTTTGACGTGACCACCTTTAAATGTTGGTGCAGGATGTGCCACCACTGGATGTACCTGAACTTTTGGCATGTTTGGTTAGGCAGTCTGAGCCTTTTCTTGATCAGATTGGTGTAAGAAAGGGTAAGCATGTATTGCATTTTCTTTTCCTGTTGCTTAACTTTTTGATTAGTTGTATTTATCTAAGTTGTGAATAGTTGGAGTTTCTCTGCCATAGGTGATTATTGAAAAAAATAGAACTCAACTTTTCGACCTGATATTAGAAGGGTCTTTGTTTAGTGTGTTGCTTGCCGATTTTTTGGGTTTTGAATAGTTATAGGTATATACTTTGTGGGAGAACAGATCACTCAAATGAAATCTGCTTTTCAGTGGCTTATTACTTATTAGACATGAAATTTGCTGGATATATAGTTAAATGGTATACATCACCGTTTCTTGTACTTTATCATGTAGTTTTGGTATTTACATTTGAAACTCATTCTCTGATTGTGCTCGGTTGAATTGTCTTTCAGATTTGTGCGACCGAGTAGTAGAAAACCTTTATAAATGCAAGAGCCAACACCTCTGGCGCCTGCCATCTGCACAAACATCTGATTTAGTTGGAAATGATAACAACCATGTTGATGATTTGGATATGAGGATAGCCAGTGTTCTTCAGAGCACAGGACACCATTACGATGGTGGCTTTTGGACTGATTTTCTGAAGCCTGAGACGCCAGAAAGCAAAAGGCACGTGGCAATAGTTACAACAGCTAGTCTCCCGTGGATGACTGGAACAGCTGTAAATCCGCTGTTCCGAGCTGCCTATATGGCGAAATCTGCAAAACAGAGTGTTACACTCGTGGTTCCTTGGCTCTGCGAATCTGATCAAGAACTAGTTTATCCAAACAATCTCACCTTTAGCTCACCTGAAGAACAAGAGAGTTATATACGTAAATGGTTGGAGGAAAGGGTTGGTTTCAAGGCTGATTTTAAAATCTCGTTTTACCCAGGAAAAGTAAGTTGATCATTTTGGTTTACACTATATTTTGCTTTCTATTACATCCAAAAATATGTCTTCTTGTTGTTACTTGAGAGTGACTGCGTTTTCTTATAGTTTTCAAAAGAAAGGCGCAGCATATTTCCTGCTGGTGACACTTCTCAATTCATACCGTCAAAAGATGCTGACATTGCTATTCTTGAAGAGCCTGAACATCTCAACTGGTATCACCACGGCAAGCGTTGGACTGATAAATTCAACCATGTTGTTGGAATTGTCCACACAAACTACTTAGAGTACATCAAGAGGGAGAAGAATGGTGCTCTTCAAGCGTTTTTTGTGAACCATGTAAACAACTGGGTCACACGAGCATATTGCGACAAGGTGGTCTTTCTACACTTCTCTTTTCAAGTTCATGTTCTGTTTTTTTATTCCTCTTCAATGCTAATACATATTCTCTCTCATGAAAGGTTCTTCGCCTCTCTGGAGCAACACAAGATTTGCCAAAATCTGTTATATGCAATGTCCATGGTGTCAATCCCAAGTTCCTTATGATTGGGGAAAAAATTGCTGAAGAGAGGTCCCGTGGGGAACAAGCTTTCTCAAAAGGCGCATACTTCTTAGGAAAAATGGTGTGGGCTAAAGGATACAGAGAACTAATAGATCTGATGGCTAAACACAAAAGCGACCTCGGGAGCTTCAATTTAGATGTGTATGGAAACGGTGAAGATGCAGTCGAGGTCCAACGTGCAGCACAGAAACACGATTTGAATCTCAATTTCCTCAAAGGAAGGGATCATGCTGACGATGCCCTTCACAAGTAAGTTTTGAAAAACGCAGATATTCCCTCTTGAATTATATTAATGTTTTTCTCTCGTTTTAATGAAGGTACAAAGTGTTCATAAACCCGAGCATCAGCGATGTTCTATGCACAGCAACCGCAGAAGCATTGGCCATGGGGAAGTTCGTGGTGTGTGCAGACCATCCTTCAAACGAGTTCTTCAGATCATTCCCAAACTGTCTAACTTACAAAACATCCGAAGAGTTTGTGAACAAAGTGCAAGAAGCAATGTCGAAAGAGCCGTTACCACTAACACCCGAGCAGATGTACAATCTTTCTTGGGAAGCAGCGACGCAGAGATTCATGGAGTATTCGGATCTCGATAAGATCTTAAACGATGGAGATGGAGGAAAAAGGATGAGAAAATCAAGATCGGTTCCGAGCTTTAACGAGGTAATAGATGGAGGATTGGCATTCACACACTATGTTCTGACGGGAAATGATTTCTTGAGACTGTGCACTGGAGCAACACCAAAAACAAAAGACTATGATAAGCAACATTGCAAGGATCTGAAGCTTGTTCCACCTCAAGCTCACAAGCCAGTCTTTGGCTGGTAGAAGTTTTACCAACAGTTATTGCTTTTTAGATTTGTTTAAAGTAAACCACTACTACGTTTGTTATTTGCTATGATAGTTGTTGAAGGTCGTTTTGTTAATAGATAGGTAGTAGAGAATGTCATTTTGTGGGCTATTTTGTAGGGTATTAAATAGAAAGCGTTGCCATATGTAAAAATATACTCCTTGTGTTTCAATATATAAATATAAATATTTTGAAGGTCTTTTTTTCAACTTATTTTCAAAAGTCGCAAGTAAAGTGATAAAATAATATTTAAATACAAATTACGGTAAAATTGAAAATATGATTTTATTATTCATTTTTTATTTAACTAAGATTCATTTAAAAAAAAATCATACTATATCTTTATGAAAATACTGTTTATTTTTTTAACAAAGTCTTTGTAACATGTGTATAATATATATTCATGTGTCTATATTTATTTATAGATGCTACTAAAATTTTATAATGGTCTTATAATTTCATATGATTTAATTTAGTACATCAATACTAATTTAAACATTTAGCTTATTATTATTTTGTAAGTTATTTGAAATTGTAAATATAATTTAATATATTTCAAATTAATTAAAACAATCAAACACATTTAAATTTAATCATTTACTAAACTAATAAAGTAAATTATAATGATGAATATAACATTCAAAATTTATTTGTAACCATGTAAAAATATGAGTGATTTAGCTCAAAATACCAAAAGAAGTAGATATTTAGGGATTTGCCATATTTTATGGGGAAAAGTAGTGATGGAGAGAACGAAAGAGAAGAGAGAAATAGGGTATGAAGCTAAATAAGGTGTTTTGTGTGTGTATAAAGTGCAAATATTCTAAAAATATATGTACAGTCAAAATATGATTAGATTATATCGTTAAGTAATCTTTTCCAATAACATGTTCTTTTGGTAAATTACACATGTATTTTTTTTATTCATTATTTGTGTCTTTTATGAAATTGTAATTTTTATATCAATGTGCAGTTATAATTTTCAACGATTAATTTTGATAAAACATCATCTACCATGCAAATCAAAGAACTAAATCATATAAAAACTATTTTCTTGAAAAATTAGGACAACAAAGGTATCAGACATCCTTGACATTCATCATATATTGTGATGGATGTATCTATGCATTAAAAAAATATCATATTTTTTACTTTATTTTGAAACTTGTAGTTTAGCCCCTACAAAAAGATAAATTTTTCGATAAGTACTATATACTGAAGTTTAAGTTTATTCATGTTGACTAAAAAAATACCTAATCACATTATACATTTATATTAATGTATGTTAAACTTATTTGCATGGTATATAGACATCGTTTCTAATATTTTGATGAATAATTTAATAAAATTTCGTATTTCACATAATTTAGTGGATTAACACCCCTATAAAATCTGTAAGTTCTAGATAAACGGAGACAAATAAGATCTCAGAACTCTTTAATTGTTATCATATATCAGTGCATGATGAAGTTATGCATTAAAATAAAATACCATATTTTATAATTTATCTTACGAAAATATCGTTTTGTTTCTACTAAGTGCTATATATATATACTAAAAATTAGCCTCATTAATTTTTTTTTAAAAAATATATGTGTATTAATGTATCCTAAACATATTTTTGTAGTACATGAGCATTATTTCTAATTTTTCAACAAGTAATTTTTTTAAATTTCATATACGATTTAATTAGTGTCCTAACCCCTATAAATCTCTATTTTTTAGAGAAATGAGAACACTTAAAGTCTCAAACCTCTTTAATCTTCATACTATGTTAGTGCATGAGGAAGCTATGCATTAAAAAAATATTTTCTAGTTTACTTTGAAATATGTGGGTTAACCTCTACGAAAAATTGAATTTGCTGATAAATACTATATATATATATATATGCTTTTGTAATTATTTATATTTTTTATAACAAAAAAGTTGCACCATTGATCACAAAATTTTCCTTGTGGAATCTTATTAGTCTTAGTAATTTATAGTCGTTTACAAAATTCAAAATATAGAAAATAAGAAAAATATAAATTTTGATTATATGGTTAATGTGTTTGTTTAAGTTTCTTAAAAATTTAAAATTAAAAAAAAATGATGGAGGCTACAAAAATTGTTATTAAATATTTATAATTCAAAATAAATAATTACCATATATATGTTTACCATGTTAGGTAATTATGTAACTTTTATTTAGAATATTTAATTACACTACTAAATAATTTGATAATTAGTTTAATAAAAACTATAATATATATTTTGATGGACCAATATTTTTTGTAAGGATTTTAAGAATTGTTGTGGGGATGACACGTGATTACTAAAATATATTGTAATGTTTCGCAATTAATATATAGGAGATATAATATATATTCCATTAGTATGATGATTTTGAGAATAGTTCATATATCTCTTAGATTCTTAAAATCATTATAATACTTTATTTTTATAGATTTCACAATATACAAAATTCTCTATAATTCTTTTCAATTTAACAAATTTTTCAACTCTTAAAATCAACAAATTTTATAGAAATCTAAATCCCACTAACACTCCTTAATTATTTGTAATATATGTGATATTGACATGTCATCAGTAAAAATATACATGCATATTGATAAAACAATTTTTCTAATAATGTTTCTACTAGGTTTTTCATGAACGACATTTTCGATGGATAGGTTTTTTCCTCTCATACGATCACAACGAATACCTTTGCATGCAATACTCTGGCAATCAAATCCAAAGAAATCTTTAAATCTTGAATGTGCTTCCACAATAATTTATAGACAAGAATTTTCCTTGTTAAACCGATCACTTTTACTTATATTGGCACTGGTCCTTCGATAAAAGTCGGCCATATTCAAGTGATATGTGATCTCTTTCCACTCTGACCTTTGATATTATCACATTTTTTTAACGAAAAAGGTCAAATCAATGTATTTCAAGTCTAATTAGATTCTCCTCCAACTGACTTGTTTTAACTTTCAACCCATGGTTAAATATAATTAGTACTGTACAATGAATCGATGAAACACGTTAAACTTCATGCTTAAGAATGGTCAGCCTTACAATGCACTATGTAATTAGATTTGGGGATCCGAATCCCTTTTCAGTTACCATATGTTAATGTCAGACAGTAAAGATCCCTACTTTTTGCGGTATTTCTCATTTAAATTTAACCTGATTTAATAACTAGCTAGTAACTCAGGCTTCGAATGGTAAAAGCAGATCAAGCGGTGCAGATCAAGCGGTTCATGCAGATCAAGCAGGACAAGTGCAGATAAAGCAGGACAAGTGCAGATCAAGCGGATCAAGCAGGAGAGATGCAGATCAAACAATTTATCATAAATTATGAATGACAAACTAAGTTCAAAACTATAGATCATATATTAAAAGAATAAAATTATACCAAATATTAATATAAATATTTAAATGTTATAGGATCAGTCTAAATGTTTATTGGATTTTTCATAAGATGCTTGTAGCGTTTTAGTTGATCAAAATTATTTTTGAAGAACAGACATTCTAATAATTAATTCTTTGTTAATATTTATATATAAAAGTGGAGATAAAACATATTAAATAATTTATTATAAATTAAATATGACAAAATATGTTCATATTATATATCATATATTAAAATAATAAAAATTACATCAAATATCAAAACAAATATTTCAGATGTTGTATGTTCAGTCGAAATATCTGTAAAAATTTTATTAGATACTTATACTTCTTCTATTTATTAATTATTTTAAAATATAAAATAATTATTTTTTTGCTGAAACTTATGTAGGTGGAAAATATTTTGTTTTTTGGCGATTATACATCATGCTTATAACTTTAAAATGACACAAATAATATTAATGTGAACTATATAGTTTGAGTTAATAATTGTACATTATTTATAAAATCAAATAAATATATTTTAAAGTTAAGTGTTTGTAATAAAACTATTTATTAATAAAAGGGAAAAGAAAAAGGCAGATCAACACCTCCAAATGTTAGCGGATGGGATCTGCATGCAGATCTCCTGCTTTTTCTATTAAAAGACAAAAAAAATTGAACTGCATGTAGATCTCCCGCTTGAACTGCTTTTACAAACAGAAAATGGTAAATGGTAAACATAAGGCAGGAGAACTGCCTATTGCGGGAGAACTGCATGATCTGCCTTTGTTCTGCCCCTCCCATTCATAACCTCAAATAAACCAATTCACACACAGTTTGACACTTTGACTTGCCTAGTCACATGCTGGCCTATCTAGTTCCTTTAAGTGGAATATTCCATATCTGTCAGTGACATATTCTGATTTTCACGACAGAAATCAACTAAGATTATTAGTTTTTTTTTTTTCATTTTATAACATATCGTGGCAACCAGAGCAAAGGTTTTCTTGCCTTCTTGGATTGAGCTTTTGGACCCCAAGACCCAAAGTTGATTTTATTCTCTAGTCCTTTATGTCGTATAGATATGAATTGATGAGTCAAAACACTAGCTATATACGTGTGGTTTATTATAATTAGAGCCCTAGTAAGTAGTAACTACTTTTTCGTTAAAGGTTTATTATTACATAATAGATTAATAGTAATACTGTCTAAAGATAATATAACTCTATATGAATATATTTTCAACCACTAGATAATGCATTTGTCAACACAAAACTTACGATCTTTAATGTGCATGGGTGTTTGCTATCTTCACTCGCATATTATTAATTTTGTGATAAGTGTTTTACCAAAAAAAAAGTGATAAGTGTGACAAGCAACTAAGCAAGTTCTCATGCATGCTCACTTTTTGTAACACCTACACTTACATTTCTAATGATATTTACATTCTTACCAAAAAGGAATTTCTCATACATAATCCAATGAATAAATGAGCTACACATTCACGATTTATAAATTTCACTCTCGTCATGATCATAGGATTTCGTATAAAAGCAGTTGCAATGGAAGTCCTTAAAAAGAATTCTTAAAAAAAAATAATTAAATAATCATTACATTCCACAAAAAGTTAATAATTAATTCTTAAAAATCTTTAAATAAGAATTGGTCAACGAATCCTTGCACTATTTGTAGGATCTCACGACATGTGTCATCCCGCGATTGATTGATATTTACTTTTTTTTTCTTAATCTAAAAAATAATAATTAAAAAATCAAAACTTAAAAATTCCTTAAAGATAACCTTCATT